AGCTTGATCGATGGCGTATGCTTGATCTGCAAAGTGACCATGGCTGACACAAACCTCCTCCTGCTACACATCCCCTTCCCGCTCCGCTCCTCCTGCTCCTCCCCTCCGACAAGTCTCAGCACGTCCTGCAGGCACCGACAACTCTGGTCGAGGTGGGGGAGGGGCAGATCTCGCTGCATCATCTCCCGCAAAAATTTCTTCCCTTCCTTGCGGCTCAGCGCTTCCTCCAGCTCATCCACCCGGCACGTGACCGCCTCCTCCCCCTCTCTCTCCTTCACCGCATCGAAGAACGTCGCTGCGACATGGCCCACATGCTCCTCCGCCACAGCGCAAGTGAATTCTTGCATGCAGCAGGTGGTGATGGAGGAGGAGGAGGAGGAGGAGAATGCAAGTTCCACTGCCTGCTCAGGGAACTGAGACCACAGCAGCATCAACTTCGGCATGGCGTCGAGAATTTTTTCCTTCGCCACCTCCTCCTCTCCCGTCAGATACCCAACGTCCTTGCACGCCCGAGACACGAGCTGCTCAAAGATGTTCTCCCCTTCCTCCTTCCCCTGCAGCTCCGTCGTCACCCGTGGCACCGTCTTCCCGAAGAGCTGCCGCAGCGTCTGCTGCTGCCTCCTGCTCCTCCTCAGCCACCACCTCTTCCACAGCGGACGACGATGCCGCCATTGCAGGAGGGAGCAATCCGCTCCTCCTGCCGTCAGCAGCCACAGGTCCTCTCCTGCCCACTCGGCTGCCGTCACCGCTCCTGCATGCCCGGAGAAGGAGCGAGGGTATGCCTCGTACCAGGCCGGCATCGTGCTGGGACCTGAGCCAGGGACACCGGAGGAGCCGGCGAGGTAGCAGGAGCGGAGGAAGGGGGAGGACGGGACGCCGACGCAGGGGAAGCGGAAGAGCTTGACGGTGAAGCGATCGAGGAGGGAGGAGGAGAAGACTCCCTTGCTGTCTGCTCGCACAGAGAACGACTTGGTCGCCTCCTCCTCGATGTTGACGGTCGAGCTCCCCAAGCAGCGCCACGCGAAGGCCTTGAAGCGAGTGACTGCCTGTTCCTTGCCCAGGAAGGGATCCGGGAAGTTGCCGATGCGGATGAAGTCAGGGGCGTAGGCGCAGGCGACCACGTCCTCGAGGTAGGAGACGCTGACTTGCTCGATGTGGTGCAGCTTGCTGCGAGGACGCCAGATGGATCGGAGATGCCAGCAGAGCTTGCAGGAGGAGGAGGACCAGTCGAGCGAGGACAGGCGGCTTGTCTCCTTCACCATGGTTCCTGCAGCAGCATGCCCGTGCTGGAGGAGACGAGAGTTTACAGCCCCCGAGTAGCGTCCGATCCCCGCAGGCCTGACTCTCAACTTGCCAGCAGGATGGGAGAGGTTCTTGGAAAGTAGCCGCACAATCCCATCCCGCTGCTGCTGGAGGAAGTGAAGGGTCTGACCTGGGGAGTTCTCGTCCACCAGATGCCAGTATAGGATCTCCCCTCCTGCGTCGTTGCTGCGGAGGAAACGAGAGTCGACCGAGAAGTCTAGATGAGTGACGCTGGCCGTGTGCCCTCTGCAGACGGCTAGCCATGCCACCACTACCGCATCCTCCCCTGCCGCGTCCTGGATGCTGTAGAGATCGATGAGGCCCTCGCTGCTGCCCACGGCCATCATGCAGCCCTGAGGATGAGGTGAGGCGGAAGAGAGCGAGGGAGAGAGGGAGAGAGGGGGAGAATGAGGGAAGGGAGGGAAGGATTGGGGAGATTGGAAGGAAGAAGAGAAGCAGTGGAGCAGACAGTTCGAGCAAGGAAGGAGGAGGAGAGATGCAAGGAAAGAGGAGGAGGAGAGGGAGAGCAGTGGGAGGAAGAAGGAGAGAACGAGAAAGGGAAGCGAGCAAGAAGACAGCAAGGGACAGAGGAAGTCAGACCGTTGAGGAGAACTTGATATCACGCACGTCGCTGCTCCTGTCCTGAATCTCCACCATCAACGACGACAAGTCTTGAGCGTCCAGGATCGAGATCGTTCCCATCCTGTGCCCTACGGCCACCCAACGATCTGCCCCGAAGCGCGGCGGCGATACAGCCATACAGGTCGCTCGCCTCCTCCACTGCCGCTGGTCCTTCCCTGTAAACCCAGGGAGGTAGATCGAGTCAAGGAGGACGTGCTGGTAGGGGTCCCACTTGCAGAGGGTCCCGTCCTCCCCGCAGGAGAAGAGGACGGAAGTTTGCTCCTCCCTTCTCCTCCAGAAACTCCGCCCTAGAAGCTGAGCCTCTGCTGGGATCCCCTCCTCCTTCATGAGCTGTGCAGATGTGAGGAGGGAAGAGACGAGGAAGAAGACGAGGACTGAACCAGGAGGGAAGGGAGGAGGGAGGGAGGAGAGTGAGGGACAAGGTCAAGGTTAAGGACCAAACACACCGATGACGAGGACGAGGACGAGGACGAGGACGAGGACGAGGACGAGGACAAGGACGAGGACGAGGACAAGGACGAGGACGAGGACAAGGACGAGGACGAGGACAAGGACGAGGACGAGGACGACTTACCTTGTCAAAGTCACATTGAGCGACATGTTGTGTGATGTGAGGAGATTTCTATGAAAGAGGGTCAGCCGATCTCCATGGGAACTTGAGATGTTTCGGTGATTGAAGATTCCAAGGATCAGTTGAAAGCAACGGTATGAAAGAAGATGGTAGTAAGCGTGTTGAGGTTTGAGGAAACAAGATTCACAAGAAAGTCAGGAAAAGCTCGACGAAGGAAACTAAGGAGGAAGAGGAGGAGGAGCAGGAGCAGGAGGAGAACGTCAAAAGCAACGTGCACACTGCAAACAGAGAGAACAAGTCAGGAAACAACTCACAGTCAACGCGCGATTCTTGATCGCGAACGCCTCTCTGACCATCTTCCAGTAGTTGGGCCTCTCCCTCATACTCCTCCGTATCCTCTCAACAACACAATCGTGCTCGTTGGACGGCACCCGCAACCTCAGGAGCATGTTGTAAGTCACATGCACACCCTCCTCGTCCTCGACCTGCAGGAAACGTCAGGCAAGCAGGGAAGCAAGCACCTGATCGCCGACCAGGAAGGGCTGGACGTCGTGGAGGACGATGTGGCGAGTGCTGGTGTGCGTGATGGTGGAGATGACTTGCTTCAACTTAGTTTGCATCCTTGTGTTGAGAGCTCCGCGATACACCAGCACATCACCTGACTGCACACAACAACCAACGACAGATTTCTCTGACTTGTTCTTTCCTGTCAGTCTCTGCAGCTTGCGAGTGGACGACCTGCCAACTTCTCATCAGCAGTGGAAGTCTTGAAAGCTGCTGACTGACCAGATCGGGTCCCGATCATGCTGGATGGAGCGAACTTGAACCTGAGGAAGAGGCACCGGGGTCATGACCTTCACGTCTTTCGTCTCCCATCAGCACACCTGGACCAGCCCCGTCTGCTTCGCATACCTCGCGTTGGGCAGCCTCGCGTCCTGCGGCCAAGGTGTCAAGGAGGTTCCAGCAGCGAGCTGCGAACTCACGTCGAGATCGAACGTGTTCATCTCCTTGATGACAACACTGGAGCGGGAAGGCAGGTTTCTTTCCTCCATCTTTTCGATCCTTCCTCGCACGTCAAAATCCGCAGAACTCAACATCATGGGCAGAAGAGCAATCTCACTCACCTGACCTCTGGAGTCTGGAAGGATCTATCCGCAATCATATACTCGAAAGGCTCCACCTGCTCCATCCATCACTCCCTTAGCAGCGCATGGAAATCAAAAGACCTCCTGACTATCCTGACGGAAGATCGCACTCTTTTCTTCATTCTCCATTTCTCTGAAGTCGTTGACAAGCGGATCAAAGATCTTCAACTCCCCATGTGGGTCGGGTCTCATGACAACAACGTTTCCCTTGCATGAGGTTGTAAGGACAAAAGCTTCGCAGATCTGCCGTCATACCTCCATCACGCTATCCCTCGCCACTTCTCTCGATTCCATGAAGGGGAAAACCTTCATAACAACCTCTGCGATCTCCTGCCCGCTGCTTCCATCACCAACAACATGCACGTGCTCCTATACAACCAGGTCACTCCTTGGGGGCAGGAAGGCACCAGCACCGACCTCTCCGAACATCCTCACACCCAAGTTGAAGTACAAGGAAGCAGTTGGCAGCGAGGCAACGGCCCTGAGGTACCCAGTATGCCCGTCCACCAAGACTTGCGGCCTCAACTTCCCACTCGCCACCAACGGCTGCATCGGCAGCCTCACGATCTTGTTGTTCGAGAGCCCCACGAGCAAACTGCCATGACCGTCGTAATCCAGTCGGCTGGCGTACAGGGGGAGCAGGACGTTGGGGTTGAGAGGGACAGGGCAGACGTCTACCGCAGACTTGGCAGCGTTCGCCTTCCACCCCCTAGCTACCAGCTGGTCCACGACGTCCGCAAGGTTCGCCTCGAACATCTTCTCCCATGCAAAGTCTCGCAGCATCTTCTTCCTACTCCCCCGATCGATCGGCTTGCTCGGGTCAACCTTCCACCCACAGATGTGCCCCTCCACGTCCGAGGACACCAGCAGCCCCTTGTGGCACCCCATGGACTCTGCGAGAGCATCAGGATGCAAGTAGCTCACGCACTTGACTGCTCTCCCCGCATGCCCCATCCAGTACCTCGACCCTCTCCCCGCAGCGATCTTGGCCGACCTGTTTCCTACGAACTCAAGGTTCCAGTCCCCTGCCTCCTCCTTCTGTTGAAAGAAACACAAATGACCGTCCGGCCACCCGCAGACCAGGGAGGAGCCGCACGCTGAGTCAGGGTCAGGGACAACCGCTATGCACTCCACCATGCTCTCCTCCATCGGCCGCACTCCGACCAGCCACCTGACTCCCTCCACATCCTTGGAGAACTGACTGTTCAGCATCGGGTGCTCCCAAACCTTGATCTCCTTGTTGCCGCATGCCGCGAAGCCGCACACCGTAGGCGCCATGTGGAGGATGGTCGCCTTGCCCACCTGCCCCTTGAAGAGGACGGAAGGAGGGTCGTCTTGCCATCGGTAGCAGGCGAACCTGTGGAGCTCGTCGTCCCCGATGCACATTATGTATTGCCCGTCCGCGCTGAAGGAGAGAGCAACGATGCGGAATTCACAGAAGCCGGACATGACAGCTTCCGGCACGCAGGAGGAGGAGGAGGAGGAGGAGAAGACTTTCATGGGAGACCACACGGCGACGGAAGGGTTCATGGAACCATGGGACGAAACCTGTCCCGTAGCAACCAGTGTCCTCTGCGCATTTACTGCCATGGAGCAGATCTCCCCGTCATGAAAGATGAAGAATTTCTGCTTCCTCTCTTCGATGTCCATCACCACACCTATGGAGGACGTGAAGTATGCTATCTTCATCCCGTCCACCACTCCTCCCTCGTTCGCCACGAAGAAGAGGTTGTTCCTCGACGGCGCCATGCGCGTCTCCGGGCTGTGGTCGTTGTGGAGCCATGCGTAGCCGTCGTGCCCGTGGTACCCGTACACCCACTCGAGCTCGAGCTCGTTCTCCGGGGGAGCATGGTGCCCCGGACTCTCCCGCCATCTCTCATCAGGGAACACCTGCGTCTTGCAGAAGGTGTACTTCTCTCCCACAGCCGGGTCCTCCTCCTGCTTCTTCTTGTGAGGGAGGAGATCGTCCTTAGGGAAGGAGGAGAAGGAGAGGCTGCTCTTGAGGCTCGTTGCCCTCTCCCTCGTGCTGACGATCCTCGAGCGAGCTGCTGCTGTCAGCTTCGAAGGATCGTAGAGGCCGGCAGGCGCCCCTGTCCTTCCCTTGTTCATGGCGAATCGAGACCGAAGGAGGGAGCGACTACCAGGCTAGTGCTCCTTCCTTCTCTCCCTCCCTCCCTCCTTCCTCCTTCCCTCCCTCCCTCCTTCCCTCCCTCCCTCCCTCCCTCCCATCCTTCCGATACCCGGCATTTCGAGGCTCTACGGGCTTTCCGGAGGGACTGAAAAACAGGGAGGAGGCTGGGGAGGAGGCGGAAGGATGGGGGCAGAGTGGGGAGGGATGGGAGCGAGAGGAAGGAGAAGGGGCATCGAGGAAACGATGAGAAGAAGGAAGGTCAGAGGAAGGGATAGAAGCTCGACAACAAAGGCGATGATTGTTGTACCATGAGGTAATTGCAAGAAACGTTCGTTTTCGAAGCTATTTCACTGTTTGCACAACGACACTGCACAAGAGCTTCTACAAGTGGAGCTCCTGAAGCCGCCACTTGCCCTCATGATCCCACCCTTACTTCCCCAGCATACATCACAAAACCTCGCCGCCATCTTTTGGTGAGCATTTCTCTATTTACACCATCACAAACATATATACAAGAATCCCATCAGACGCGTGCCGATCCGCCCGCCCCTCACACGAGGATGCTCGCTGTCTCCCAGTCAACTTCGATCGGGATGCTGCCGGAGCCCAGGGCAAGGAAGGCGTACGTTAGAGGAGCCAGCATGAGGAGAAACCCTGCGCGCCAACGTCAGTCCGCTCCATTCTCCTCATCGCGTCCTCACCAAGGATGGGGAGGAGACAAGTCTGCAGATTGTCAGGCTCCATAGCGGTCTCGCTCACAGCAACAGCTTCCCGCTCCTCGAACAGGTTGTTCTGCTTCAGCACCACCCGACCCTCCGGCCTCAGGGTCATCGTGTCCCTCATCGTAAAGCCGCCATGGCTCCAGCGCTTCATGTCGCTCCTCCGCAGCTGCAGGCTGCATGCTGGCAGCGCCATGAAGCCGTCAACGCTTCCCATCATGTCTCCAGCTAAAGAAGCGAAACAGAACACAAAACACCATCTGTTCATCTTGCTTCTAGCAATGCTCGTCTTCACAGAGATCTTGCAGGAACTGATGTTTGTAAGAGCTTGTCGAATACCTTCACACACTACCCTGCAAGAAAACCAGTGAGGGGTGATCAACAGAAGCTGTCTTTGCAGAGCAGCAAAAAATCTGCTCTTGCAGAGCAAGATGCGGAACAAAAGGGAACCAGCGCGTTGAACATTTGTGTCGCATGCAGCAACAACATCAAGTAGCGATCGATTGGCATTCGATATCACCTTCACAGTAACTAACTAAAGCGTCACATTGGATGACAGAGTGTTGCTCTATCGCACTCGCTACAACATGATAGCAATACGGCAGCAAGTAGCGAATCGTATCAAAGTCATTGCGATAACGAGCAAGAATGTCCAAATGAGGTTTGTAGGAGTAAGCGTCTGAAGCAGGTAGTAACAAACAGCAGAGCGCGATCTTGGAAAGAAAAGAATAGCAGAAAGAGAGTGCAAGAGCAGGAGTAGGAAGGAACAGGGATAAGAGAAGGGCAAGGGAAGGGCAACAGAAAGTGCGAAAGACAAGAGGCTGAAACAGAGACTGAAGATAGACAGGAGTGAGAGACTTGGAATGAGTTGAAACTTCGGGGTCTACAAAGAGGAACGGCTGGCCATCGGAAACAAGGAGACTTGGGGAGGACATGTGAAGTCCAGGGCAAGCAGGAATGCAAGATCGAACATGTCCATAAAGGGAGAGGAAGGAATGAGGAGGAGGAGTACAAAGACGGGATCTATGTGCTCAAGTGGTGGGATGGGGAACGAAAGGGGGCGATGGGCAGTTGAGATGTTGCATGTGCTTTCGTGGATGCGATCTCCCCAAAATCGGGGAAAGAGACGTTTTCACCAGATATTGGTGCTAAATGCAAAATATGCTTCAAAATTATCAAACTTGTTTTCAAATTTGATTATTATAGTATCAGGATTTTAATTAGGCTTTGAAAGACCCCTTCGTGGTATGCTGCCTCATAAGCCTTTGGTCTCATTTTACTCTTGTCAGCCCACCCACCCTACCCATTCTTGTTGGAGAACCTTTTGAGGACCCCAAACATTAGTTACCCCACCCCCACATTATAGTGTAATTACCCTCTAAGTCGTGCTGAAAATTTACGGTATAAATACCCCCACCCTGATCGCCATTAAATTTCCTCTGAGTACCGGTAACAGACACCCTATTACGAATGTTGGATACCTATAAAACATAGGGAAACAAAGGGGTAGGGGGGTCCAGCTATACAACGTACCTGTAAATTCGGGGTAGGGGTAGGCTGAAATCACGGGTTAATATGATTGAGAAAAATAGGGTAGGGGTAATAAGACCAGGGGACCTTTGCATGGAGCATAGAGGGGTACTAATAAATATACTACGGGTACATTTGAGATGCAAGAAGAGGGTAGTAGGTGTTTGGATTGAGTACCGGTTAATCTATAGAAATCGAAGGTGGTGGGGTAATGCCGGTCAACGGTATGCAGGTGAGTGGATGGAGTTGGAACGGGGAGGGGAGGGGAGGGGAGAAGGACAGGCAATCAATGGAGTATGGATCTGAGAGTAGAGCCGTTTGAGTGTTGCTGGAGATTGCACATGCTATGTGAAACAAAAGCCCTGATGATGTGAAGTTTTATCCTGATGTCCCTACTTGATAGCAAACACTAGAATGGAAATTGTGGCGAGGAGGACATGAGATGTCTTACCGACACTGCACCAACTCTAACGACTCAAGATTCCGCATTCAATCATCCTCTAGGGGCTCCAGAGACCGCCAGGTAATATCTCCTCCCCTCCCCTCCGTCCCTCCTTCATCCATCAACCCACCCACCCACCTCTCCATCTATCTATCCCTCCCTCCTTCCTGTCTGGCGATCTGAGATGCCCGAGCAGGACATAGGATCAGGTGGTACTTACCTCTGGCGACCTTCGCATGCACGAGCAGAACCTGAGCCCGTGCTGTTGTTCAACTGCTTTCCGAAGCGAGTAGATGGTCTGCGGGAACCAGAAACAAGGAGAGGCAGATCCGCAGCAAGTTTGAAGAATGAGAGCGGGCGATGGACACGAAGAGACCTGGCTAGCAGAGATGATGCAAGGTCTGTTGTCCTCCCCACAAGACCTCTCATTTGATGTTTCCTTTGTCAAACTTTCAGATCTTCGATTGCAAGCTTTCAGCGATCACACAGGTAGATCTCCTCCTCCTCCTCCTCCTCCTCCTCCTCCTCCCCCTCCCTTCAGCTCACTTCGCCATATAATGGCAGAAATTCTTCATGCACCTCTCTCTCGTCCCCTGTTACATTCGCCGCTTCTGCTCCTGTATTGGTTTTTAAGTGGTGTAGCAGAAATCTCATGGAGTTTGTAGCCAGTGCAAAGCGCAAGGGCATGACAGAAGAGTCTCTAACTGTTCTCAGAGAAGAGGTGAACGAAATTTGCGCTCCCTGCTGCACATACTTCTCATCCTCGCATCTTCCAGATCCAAGAGATCGGCAAGGCTTTACAAAAACTGAATCAGGTGCACAGAAAGTCCTAAGTCTTCCTATGGGAAAGTTTTTGAAGACAACCAAAGTCAACTTCAAGGTTTCAGCATTTTTATCATGGTTCGAACGACCTCTCGGCCCGTAACAACAGCACATGTCCTAGACGAGCTTCAACCTTTCCCCTTCAGTGCTTCTTAGCTGACCTTCGAGCTTTCACTATTTTCCGCTGCGGCACTCCGTCATCCTGACTAGGAGCTCCACCCCCGAAACCCCCTTGCGGCGCTCCTCCTCCAAACCCTTGACCCCCGCTGCTCCCGAAGGCGGCAGGTGCCTGCTGCTGCTGTGCTCCTGCCCCGAACGTGAAGGGAGCGGCAGCTGACCCAAAGGCTGCCCCACCTCCGAAGGAAGGAGCAGAAGACCCGAACGACGATGCCCCAAAGGCCGAAGAACTTGCGCCAAACGGCGACGGAGCTCCCCCACCGAACGGCTGCTGCGACCCACCAAATGCCGGAGCCGAGGCGTTGAAAGCGCTCTGCCCTCCTCCAAAAGTGAAGGTAGAAGACGATGCTCCGAAGGCTCCAGTAGATCCGAAGGCCGACCCCCCGCCTGTGCTGCCGAAGGGAGGAGCTGCCGGGTTGCCAAACGCCGAGCCGGTCGAGCCGAACCCTCCGCCACCGAAGGCAGGAGTGGAGGTTGTGCCTGACCCTGTGCTTCCGAAGCCAGAGGGCGCGCTGCTGCCTCCGAAAGTGAACGGCGTGCCAGCAGCTCCGAAAGCTGAACCCGTCGGTGCCCCGAACGTGAAGGGTTGGCCAGCCGCCGAGGATGGAGCTTCGTCTGACATCATCCCTTCATTGCTAGAACCAGCCTTGGCAGCGTCAGCTGCTGCGCTCGAGTTGCCTGCTCCGAATGTGAACGGAGCGTTAGTGCCACCTGTTGACCCAAAGGCTGGGGCGCTCGACCCAAAGGCTGGGGCGCTCGACCCAAAGGCTGGGGCGCTCGACCCAAAGGCTGGGGCGCTCGACCCAAAGGCTGGGGCGCTCGACCCAAAGGCTGGGGCGCTCGACCCAAAGGCTGGGGCGCTCGACCCAGAGGCTGGGGCGCTCGACCCAGAGGCTGGGGTGCTGGACCCGAAAGATGTGGGAGCACTCGAGCCGAAAGCAAAAACGCTTCCAGTCGACGCGATCTTATCGCCCGCGGCAGAGGATGCAGCTGGAGTGCTGCCGAAAGAAAACGTGGCTGGAGCTGCACTGCCTGTCGAAGACCCGAAGGCGAAGACTGAGGACGAGGCCGAACTGGCCGCGGACTCTTGAGTCGCAGGCGTACTTCCGAAGGAGAAGACGGCTGGAGTTTGACTGGTCGATGTGGAAGATTGAGACGAGCTGGCGCTGGACCCTCCGAACACGAAGGCAGACTTGGACTGTGGTTCCGACGCGCTGGCTGACGTTGGGGGAGCAGCCACATTCGAGCTTCCAAAAGTGAAGACACTGCTGGAGCCTGATTCTGACTTCGGTGCATCCGAGCTCGCCGCACTGGAGTTGCCAAATGTAAACACGCTGCTTGATGAAGCACTTTGTGTTTCTGCAGATTTCAAGGGAGCTGCACCAAACGAAGGCGTGGTTGAAAAAGAGGAGGACGAGGATGCACCAAATGAGAAAGTCAGTGGGGCTGAACCGCTTGGAGCTGGGGCAGAAGTCTTTGCTGGCTCACTTCCGAAGCTAAAAGTAGGAGGCTTTGTAGATTCAGAAGGCGCCGAGTCCGTCTTTGCTGGATCGCTACTTGCTCCCTTGCTATCGCCGCGCTCCTGCTTGTCCTCCTCGTCGATCTCTTTTGACCCTGTCGACTCAAAGCCCACGTCCACCTTCTTCGTCGGCCACTGGAAGGTCGTAGGTACCCCGCTCTTCCTTGCCATCTCCTCGTACGCCTTCCGCCTCTCTGCCGCTTTCTTTGCTGCATCTCCGTCTGCATCCTTGCTCGCTGCTCCGCCATCTTCCGCCTTTGACACCTTGCTGTCCTCCTTCTTTTCGTCAGTGCTGCTCTTGCTCGCTCCAAACGTAAAACCCCCACTTGACGACTTCTCGCCGCTGGAAGCTCCGCTCGACCCAAACGTGAAACCTGGTCCGGCCGCCGTAGATGTCGTAGTCTCAGTCGCCTTGGCACCGAAACTGAATGTCGAGGACCCTCCTGTAGACGCCGAGGTCGATCCAAAGCCAAACGAGAAGCCTGATGAGCCGCCTCCTGCCGCTGGCTTCGAGCTGGAGGCTGACCCGAACGTAAAACCTGAGCCGCTGCCTCCTGTACCAAAGCTGAGGCCACTGCTCGATCCCGCATTCGACGTCCCGAACGTGAAGCCCGATGATGCGCTGCCTCCTGCCGCCTTCTCTCCGCCGGTGGCTCCGGGCTTAGGAGCTTCACAGGACATGCACTTGTCCTTGGCCTCTGCGTTGTTCATCGTCAAGCACTCTGTGCATCTCCACTGCCCAGGCTTTGGCTTGAACAATTCCGATAAAGGAACTTGTCCACCGTTTGAGTTTTGGCTACTTTCAGCAGACTTTGATGTGTCCTTGCTATCGCCGCGCTCCTGCTTGTCCTCCTCGTCGATCTCTTTTGACCCTGTCGACTCAAAGCCCACGTCCACCTTCTTCGTCGGCCACTGGAAGGTCGTAGGTACCCCGCTCTTCCTTGCCATCTCCTCGTACGCCTTCCGCCTCTCTGCCGCTTTCTTTGCTGCATCTCCGTCTGCATCCTTGCTCGCTGCTCCGCCATCTTCCGCCTTTGACACCTTGCTGTCCTCCTTCTTTTCGTCAGTGCTGCTCTTGCTCGCTCCAAACGTAAAACCCCCACTTGACGACTTCTCGCCGCTGGAAGCTCCGCTCGACCCAAACGTGAAACCTGGTCCGGCCGCCGTAGTCTCAGTCGCCTTGGCACCGAAACTGAATGTCGAGGACCCTCCTGTAGACGCCGAGGTCGATCCAAAGTCAAACGAGAAGCCTGATGAGCCGCCTCCTGCCGCTGGCTTCGAGCTGGAGGCTGACCCGAACGTAAAACCTGAGCCGCTGCCTCCTGTACCAAAGCTGAGGCCACTGCTCGATCCCGCATTCGACGTCCCGAACGTGAAGCCCGATCCTGCCGCCTTCTCTCCGCCGGTGGCTCCGGGCTTAGGAGCTTCACAGGACATGCACTTGTCCTTGGCCTCTGCGTTGTTCATCGTCAAGCACTCTGTGCATCTCCACTGCCCAGGCTTTGGCTTGAACAATTCCGATAGAGGAACGAAGGAACTTCCGGAATCATTCTGAGGAGCAGCAGTTGACGAACTTGTCTTGGGATGACCGTTTGCACCGGTCGACACATCGACTTGATCTTGTCCAGGTTCAGAGAAGGAGTATTTGGTGCCTGATAGCATCCTTCCCATTGGCTGACTTTGCAGTTCCAAACTTTCCGGCTCAGTGAAGTTAAACTTGCTTTGGCTTGCATGGACATTTCGCTTTGGCATATCTCCATCTTTCATTGCATAACCTCGGCTCTCTGACATAGAATGTTCATTAGCAGCGGCCTTGGCACTGGCATCAGGCGAATTTCGTGCTTCAACAGCCCAGGCCGAACTGAAAAATCGAGAAGAAGGAGCGGACCTGTGTTCGAGCCAAAGTGAGTTCCTGTGCAACAGGAAGTTGATTGCAAAACGAAACAGCAATACCTTGAGTCGGAGGCTGGAGTACTAGTATCCTTGATAATCTCCAATATTCTTTTCACAGTTTGAGTTGGTTGATGTGACAGCCTTCGTCGTTGTGTGGGTCGCGTCCTGACTTCGTTCACATCGTCTAGTTGAAATTCGTTCAACGGATTCAGCTCAAGCACACCAATAAATATACCTTTGCTCGGATGTCTATCGTTCGGTGCAGGGCTGGGCTCCGGTGCAAAACTCTCCCTGTTGCGCTTAGTGCCCACATCTGTCATGTAGGAACCTTGGCGATTGGCCGAGAAGGAGGGGGTTGAATATGCCGAAGGTATTCGAGGAACACTACTATGAAACGTAACATTCGACCTATTCTTTGCAGCCATTGAAGAATCGGGCGGACGGAAGCTTGCATTAGTTCTCTCTGGCAACAAACGCGCCGAAGGAGACAACGCAGCTGTAATCGGTGCCAACGCCCTCTCCGCATACTCCTTCGCCGACATTCGGCTTGAGCGCGATACAGAATGATTGCCAATGGGGGATTCGGTGAGAAATGTTGAAGAAAGAGTCTTTTCGTCGTTGCTATTATTCGTGATGACCATCATTGAGGTGTTGTTGATGGTTGAGTTGTTGGCATTCATGGTCTTGTTTTGCATGTAAGGGCTTGAAACGTTCAGAAACGATGCCTCTCCAAGTCCACCCATAATTTGAGATGATCCAGTCAGTCGTGAGAAGTTGTTTGAATGGTATGATGTGTCTGGCTGCGAGCTCTGTAATGAACAAAATCGGTACAGAGAACCAACGAAAAGACGCTCTTACCATCATGCTATTCTTGGCAGTTTTTGTCCGCATGACTGCGATGCGAAAGGCTGAGGGTTCTCCATAACCATCCAGGTCAGTTCTTTCATTTGAATACTGGAAAGCGAAGAATAAATCATCCAAAGCAAAGCAGGAGGCAAAAATGTATCTACCACATAGTGCTTGTTCACAAGGTTCGCAAATTTTTGAGCTAATTGCCTTTTGCGAGCTCGTTGCTGGCTCCCCATGCGACTGACAGTCATGGCTACCTTCAAGGGGTCCATAGAGTGAACAGGTCTTGGCCTGACGATAGAAGGTGTCACGATGTTGAGCGCCTCCTCATTACCAAGTCCAGTCTCGTGATCGTGAGACTCAGTCCTGCTGTCACGACTAGTGTTCACTTGAGCAAACAAGTTAACAGGACGTGAAGGTTGCCGTTCAGCATCTGCTTGAATCTCATCGTGGAGGAACCGTGAGTCGGAAAGAGATTCTGAAGTGCTGTGCTGCACATTGTGGTTCCGTCCCAACATATCAGCAAATGCCTGCAGCGATGGGTCTCGATTTTGTCCAGCTTGGTAATGAGACATCGAGGGTCTAAATTTTGAACTCTCTGTGTGCTCTTCAGACCTGGACACAAATAATTATTGGAGCCCCACATGAGGGCAAAGATACTCACATAATCACTACTTCTTCGGCGAAGTCTTCATCATCATCTTGAGGCTCTGAATGAGCCTCTGACTTCCTCCATGGAGAAAGCCATGATAGTGCTCCTGATATCAGTCTACCGGGTGTGCGAAGAAGGCTTCCTCCCTGAATGGGCATTAACACAACAATGAGGGGTGAAAGGAATCTGGACAAAAAAAGGTGACGGAGAAGGAACTAGAAGGAACAAAGGGAAGTGTTGGGGGAGTCGCAAGTAGCGAGAAGCTAGACATGGCAACGAGCAGCCCTACCTTTTGAGTGCCTGATGTCGTTGGAGAAACAGCTTCACTTTCTCGAGGTCGATCGTATGGACCTGGCCGATGTTTCTTGGCTTCATGCTTGATGGCTGGCATGCTGCTCTGAATTCCAAGAACGCTAGCACCCCGCCGTATCAAGAAGCTCGAACGATTTTCACTGAAAATGCAGATTCATTCAGTTTGGCGTAAATCATTGTCAAAATACAATATCATGATCAGATGTGCATCAGAGATGGTATAGTTGTTTCCATGACATCAGGCGTACTGCCACACACCATGGTTGCAGTCTGCACATAAGACAACAGCAGAAACATGGGAAATAACAACTGGTATCGAAGAAACACTGCTATCAGTAGACGAGAACATCCCTTCAGTCAACAGCATACACTAGCCCTTCTGGCCTTCTAGAAGAAATTTCTATTTCTGTCCTGCTTGTCCTCTCTCCATCATGGCTCTTCGTCAATTGTTATAGTTGACATCAAAAGCAACACACTCCCTGACGGCTCCATGCAACAACCTCCACCCCACACCCTCTATCTGAACTCTCCCCTCCCCTCCTCCCCTCCGTTCTCCTCGCGCTATACCCGCCATTGCCCTCTGTGCCTATCACCCAAATATTGGCGAATCAAAACATTACTAAACTACTAAGATATGCGCCAATATTTTAGTACCAATACGCCAACTCTTTTGTACAAGCAAGCCACAAGTTATTCACAAAAACTAATTTAATATGTAGTATTTCTAATATATATGATTATTTCAATACATAATTATATAAATTTATAGAGAATAAGATCCAATGCATGCGTACAGGGCTTGAAATCATTACCGATTGTGCCAAGATGAAGTACAACCGATAAATATAATTTTAGTATTATTTATATATATTGTATTGGTGTTCTGTATCAAGAAAACTTTTATAAGTAATCTTATACAGAATATTGTACCATAGGAAACACAAGTATCAAAAAGGAATGGGTGAAAGAGCACGAGGCAACATACGTTACATATATTCGAAAGAATAACGGAAATTGTGCCGGGTACGGCAGTGCTGAGTACGGCCCGGCCGTGCGCCGGGCGTTCAACTTGTCACACACTACTTCGGACGGCAGTGTGAGAACCAACCCTCAGGGGGCCTGTGCTCGGGCAACCTGGCGCCGCCGGAAGTTGTACAGTACTCAGTGACGGTCGGAACGGAGGCTTTCGGGCCGCCGAACAAGTTTGATGCTGTCCGATCGTACATTCACATTTACTCAAAGTTAAGTTAAAAATCAGTACGAGGACCATCAGCCTGAGGAGAGTACGGTAGTAAACTGAGTACCACTACTGTGAGTCAGTATCCACTAGAAGTGGCCGGCCCCTGATAATTTGACTAAAAGATATGTTCTGAAATAATTTCATTATAATTTGGCGGTATCTAAGTGTTATAATCACTCTATAATAAAAAGTTTTGATATTATTAAAACTCTATAGAGATTAGTACTGACAGTACACAAGAATTAAAAATCCACACATAAAGGAGAGAGGCACTACCCACCATCCTGATGATGGGGAAAGCAGGGGGTGTGGTGAAAGATGGGTGTAGCGGATAGGGGGTGTAGGACCAGGAATCAAGGTCGAACATCTATTGGGGTAGTCAAGTAGGGGTACTTTATTGATTGAAAATATTGAAACATAGGGGGTAGGGTAATATTTGATGCTGGTGAGCATACGATGTGGTGGGGTAGGAATGGGTGTGGGGACTTTTATGGGTGGGTTGGGGAGATCGAAGGTACAGGAGCCATTATGCGGAGAAGCCTTCTGGTCGGTATGGCAGCGGCGCTCGCGTCAGCGTCAGGAACACTCGGTAAGAGGCGGGGGGAAGGGGGGAGGGGGATGTACTTGTGCAACGCAGGGAGACACTGGTGCAAAGTTGAGTAGAGGAAACGTGTACCGTGCCGTGCAAATGGTGGTCAATGTTGTCTGCAGGGATCTGATGTTTGCTCCGTGTGGTAGCAGTAATAGTATACATGCCGCCCTCGTTTGTTGTGGTGGTTCAAAATCTCATCTTTGATGAAAATCCTATGGTGATCATGTTCGTGATGTCGAGGAATGGGCATTTTGTACACAGATTGGCTGGGACGAGGGGGGGGGGGGGGGGATGGGTTCAATAACCACTAGCGGGGCTGTGTCAAGAATTGCGCTTGCGATGAGACGAGTCTTTTGACTTCTTCGGTGCAGCTTTCGCCCCAGCCTTGCCGTCTGCAACCGTCTCAAGAAATGCGCAGACAAGCGCTTGCAGCCTGAAGGTACTGACGTGCACAGGAACACTTGTTCGATACTGATTGTTGGTGAAGATGGGTTTGTTCGACGGGTTGTTCGGTGGAGGAAACAAGAACGAACCTCCCCCATCCCAGGCTGCTGTGCCTTCGGAGAGGCTCGCGCCGATCAAGGGGAAGACCATCGTTACTTTCATGCCTAGCAACCAGCAGGTCTACGCTCGTCCAGGTGCGAGCCTCCGTGTAGTCAGCACTGATCATGAACTTACTTATGCTGGATATCATAGGCGAGCGCCTTGGAGATGTCGCGCAGAGAGCTGGCATCAACGTTCCGTAAGCATCACGATCTTGACGACCTCTTATCGGTGACTCGTCGTCACAGGTATGGCTGCCGTGAGGGCGTCTGCGGCACTTGCGAGGCAAAGATGCGTCAGCCCACCGGACAGATCAACGAAGTTCGCGTCTGCAGAGATATCGTGCCCAAGACGAACTTGGACTCTCCTGATCGGTACGAAGCAGGAGTCTCCTCCTGCTTGTTTCTCGATCTAACAGCAAACGCAGGGAGAAGATGTGGGGAGATCTCCGTGGAGGAAAGAAGTCAGTCAGTGAACTCCGTGGAACTCCGGAGGAGATTACCGTCACCTTGCAGGTAACTTGTTATGCTTCCTCCTTCTCAGAGCTCCTCTGACACCGTATCTTTCGTAGAATCCAAATCTTGCTTTGAAAAGGCAGCAGTCCTGGGAGCAGATCAAGGATCAGGCAAAGCAGAAGGTACTGCATTCGCTTGCCCTTGCAAACCTGACTATGACCTGTAGACCAAGGATTGGCTTGATCCTAACTACCAGGCTCCAAGCAAGCGCAACGGTGGGATCCCTCCCCCACCATCCGGCCCCAAGAAGTGGTTTTAGATGAGCGATCCAACCATTTCTCGATCCCCCTCTTGCTATTCTTTGTAGAGTCGCAGGAAATGATTGTAATTTTTGGGATGAAATTTTGTTCACTCTCGGTGCTTGGCGCATGTCGGACGGTTCGGCCCGCGGGGCCCGGGTCTGCCTGGGTCTTTCTAGGCCTCCGTCTGCCGCAGTGCCTGGATCGTCTTTCTGTCACGTCTTTCAAGGCTAGTAGGCTGGCGCGGCCCCTGGCAGGTACTACGGTAGGCTCAGCCGCTGGCCGGGCCCGTCTGCCACCGTAATGGCACGGTGTTTTGCCGCCAGGCCGGACGGCCCTGGCACTGATGACCCAAGGGTCCGATCACTGGCTGCCCGGCCGCGCCGCCGGGCCAGCCGCCGCCAGCGGCCTCGGAGCCGCCGGGCCAGACTCAGAGCCGCCGGGCCAGCGCGGCCGCCGGGCCGGGCCGCTCTGCCGGGCCTCTGCCGCAGCTCTGCCGGGCCAGTGCCTGGGCCAGTGCCGGGCCTTGCCCCGGCTCTGGTCTGCCAGAAAACGCGGTCACCATGGCATTCATGCGTGCATGGTCGCAATCGAGGTAAGGCAACGAGTATGAGGGTGTGGGGAGGAGGAGACGGAGGAGAGTGAGGAGAGGAAGAGGAAGAGGGAAGTAGAAGCAGCTCAGAATCAGAATCGGAGTCTCATGACTTGTTTGAGATGGCGCTGCCTCATGAACGCATGCTCGAGTCTGTCGAGCGATGGGACTCGGAGCACGTGACGGGGCTGTGATGGTGTTCTTTGGGAGTTCTTGCCGTCTTCTGATGTTGTTATCATCGCAGCTGCTTCAAGATTTCAATGAGGTGACAACAAGATGAGAGGACTGGCTTCTTTCCGCATCGTCGCTGTGAAAGTGTTGGGTAGATCCTTCAAAACTCCTCTGTACGGCTGGTTGGAACGCAACCATGGTCAGAGGAGACACCTGGCTTCTTATACAGATCCGGCATCTGATCCGATCAAGTCAGGCATTGACAAAGATTTGAGTGGAAGTTCGGAGCAGGCCTCGAAAGCTCGCGATGATCCTGAACAATCGCAGTATCAGAAAAAAACGCAGCTTGAGCATGTTCTCCTCAGGCCTGACGTGTACGTCGGGTCCATGGAGCAAGTTACGAAGCAGATGTTGGTGTATGATGTCAAATCGAGCTCGGTGCGACTCCGATCCATCTCTTACATCCCTGGCTTGTTGAAAATCTTCGACGAGATCCTGGTCAATGCGGCGGATAACAAGCAAAGGGACGTAGCGACCAAGCAGATCAAAGTCAAGTTTGACAAGAAGAATGCAACCGTGCAAGTCTACAACGACGGAAAAGGGATTCCTGTGTGCCGGCATGCAAAGTATGATGACGTGTATATCCCCGAGCTGGTGATGGGAAACTTGCTGGCAGGATCAAACTTTGACGATACCAAGACTCGCCTTGCAGGGGGCAGACACGGCTACGGGGCTAAGCTCACCAATATCTTCAGCTCCGTCTTCACTATCGAGACTGTCGATTCTTCTCGGGCTCTCCTGTACAGACAGACTTGGCGAAACAACATGACAACCTGCGAACCTCCGACAATAGAAAAGTTGACAGGAAAGGCGGAGGATTATACCAAAGTGACTTTCACGATTGATCTGAAAAGATTCGGGAAGAAGTCTTTGGACGATGACACGATAGCTTTGTGGGCAAGAAGGGTGGTGGATGTTGCTGGCTGCAACAATGGCTTGAAGTGCTGGATCAACGGCACCTTGGTCAAGGTTCGAAGTTTCCAAGACCTCATGCTCCTTTACCGCTCTGCGCTCACGCAGGAGAAAGGAGCAGAAGGCGCAAAGGCAGTAGAGGTGATTGAGGATAATTCGGGGAGGTGGAAGGTCGCAGTCGGGAGTGCGGTCAATAACTCGTCCAGCGAGCTTTCGATGAGCTTTGTGAACAGCGTGTGGACTTCAAGAGGCGGTACCCACCTGAAGCACGTACAGGATCTCTTCATAAAATATGTCGCAACGGTCCTCAACAATAAGTACAAGGACCTTGACGTCAACGAAAGGACGATCAGGAACAACATGTGGATCGGTGTTGCCGCTCTTATTGAGAACCCCTCGTTCGACACGCAAGGCAAGGAGCTGCTCGTCACCCCCACAGAGAAGTGCGCTTTCTGTTTTCCACACCCACGGGGTTGAGTTTGGCCCGCCAGGTTTGGATCGGAGTTCAAAGTCTCCAGGAAAAAGATGGAGGAAGTCGTTCAAAAGACGGAGATCGTTGAAAGAATCGTCAAGGCAATCGCATTCAGCTCCGCTTTTTGGTCTGACTTGGTTTGCAGGTGTTGGAAGGAAAGCTAGTGAAGGACTTGGACAAGAGCTCAAAGACGGTGAGGATGACAAATAGGATGACGACTGTGATGATCATGATAACCATCATGATTTCCCCCAATAAGCTTGTCTGGTGCTGATCAACATGTTGTGAAGATGGGAGCTTGGTCGCAAAAGCGCCTCCTTCTACCGAAGCTCGAAGATGCAAACTGGGCAGGGACAGCCAAGTCAAGGGAATGCACTCTCATTCTGACTGAGGGAGACAGCGCAAAGGTTGTGGATATGGGTAAGAGGAGGAGGAACTGAAGGGTGGAACAGGCACTTGCAGTCAGCGGGCTTTCGGTGTTGGGCAGAGACAGGTTCGAAGTCTGAGATCATGCAGGCATGAGTTGCGTGGGATTGTAATCGTCTCAAACAGATACGGTGTGTTTCCTCTCAAAGGAAAGCTGATCAACGTTCGTGAAGCAACTAACTTACAAGTGAATCGAGAGTTTGGTTGGGTTGGGAATGAGAAGACTTGCCCAGGTGAAGAACAACACTGAGCTTGCAGCTATCAAGGCTATCCTCGGACTTCAGAACTCGGCGACTTACGACTTGGACAAGAAGGAGAGCTCTGCGTTTCCGCTCAGATACGGCAAAGTCATGTTAATGACGGACCAAGACCATGACGGGTCTCACATCAAGGGGTTGTTCATCAACATGGTCCGTGAGCCGTTCCCCGACTGTGAGGGGAGGTGACTGATGTGACGAACAGATACATGCGTACTGGCCTGAGCTGCTGAGATCCAACCAGTTCTTGTTCGAGTTCGTGACTCCGATCGTCAAGGTTTACACGGGAAGCCAAGATTTGAGAAAGACCAACAAAGCTTACAAGACCTTCTTCACTCAGATTGGTGGACTTGATGCATGACTGCTACTTGGGATGCTGAATCTAGATGCTCTCACCTATGCAGAATTCAAGCAGTGGTGGGACTCGTTGCAGGACAAAGATAGGAATAAGTTTCACATTAAGGTTGAAACTTTTGCTGTTCGTGATGTACAATCTCACATCGTTGGTCAAGTACTACAAAGGTTTGGGAACAAACACGGCGCAAGAAGGGAAGGAATATTTCAGCAACCTGGAAGTGAGATCCACAGTCTGTCTGTTGTGACCTGACCCGACCATGATAGTCACATCGATTGAGCTTTGTGTACGATGGAAAGCAAGACGACAACTCAATCACCTTGGCGTTCTCCAAGGTTTTTAAAGCTCTTTCGAACGAGTGGATGATGGTGAAACATGAAGGATGCGGACGAGAGGAAGAAATGGATTCAAGATCATGCAGACAGGTGGAGCTGAAAGCTCATGAAGGAGGGTTGTTCTGTTCGTTCCATGGTGACTCGTGTGCTTGCTAGCGTTGTTAAGGACTTCATCGACCACAGCAAAGACAAACTCTCATTCACAGATTTTGTATACAAAGAACTTGTCCAGTACAGGTAAGAAGAACTCATTTGTCATGGAGCGATTATCTTGCTATGGTTGTGAATGGATTTGACTTTGCGATTCTCAGCTACGCCAGCTTGCAACGGGCCATTCCTTCGCTCATCGACGGATGCAAACCCTCTCAACGCAAGATCTTGTACGCTTGCTTCAAGCGCAAGTTGAACAAGGAGATCAAGGTGCAGGAGAATTGCAGGATGACACTGATGATGATAACAACGATGATGATAATGATGATCACGATGATGATCACGACTTTGATAATTACGATGATGATAATGATGATGATAATGATGACGACGACGACGACGACGAAGACGACGACGACGACGACGATTGAGAAGTAGATGATGATAATCTGCAGGTTGCACAGCTTGCTGGTTACATCTCTGAGCACACAGCATATCATCATGGAGAAAACTCTCTTCACAGTGCCATTGGTGAGATGTGAGGAAGCTGGAGAGAGGAGGAGGAGGAGGAGGAGGAGGAGGAGGAGGAGGAGGAGGAGGAGGAGGAGGAGGAGGAGGAGGAGGAGGAGGAGGAGGAGGAGGAGGAGGAGGAGACAGCGTGTGAGTGCAAATAACCAATGATGGCATCAGTCAAGATGGCCCAGCGATTCGTCGGCTCAAACAATCTGCCCCTCCTCTACCCATCCGGTCAGTTCGGTACAAGACTGCAGGCAATCCTTGCCATCTCCTCCTCCTCCATTTGTTGACGGGAAGACGACAGGGAGGAGAGGACGCGGCCAGTCCGAGATATATCTTCACTTCCCTCAACAGCTACACGCGCATGATCTTTCCCGAGGAGGATGACTTGCTGTTGATCCCGCAGTCTGAGGATGGATTGGAGATTGAGCCGAGATATTACATCCCGATCATCCCGATGACGCTGGTCAACGGAGCTCAGGTAGAGGAGGGGAGGGAAGAAACATGCGAAAATGGGAGGCCGAGGAGGGACCGGGCAGGGATTCGATGTGATAAAAGGAGGCAGAGCCTGTTGAAAGAGAATGAAATGAGGAAGACGGTGTAAGAAGGGAAATGATGTCCAGGAGGGAGGATGGCGCGCCGGAGCAGGTGCAGGTGCAGGTGCAGGTGCAGGAGGAGTAGGAGCAGGTGCAGCTGGAGCAGGAGCAGGAGCAGGAGCAGGAGCAGGAGCAGAATGCTTGTGGGTTCTCACACAAGGTTCGCAGGGGATCGGGACGGGGTGGTCCACCTCAATTCCCTCCTACAACCCGTTCGAGATCATCACCATCCTGCGCTCGATGATCCGCGAGTCGAAGGGGGGCGGGGGAGGGCAGGAGAGCTTGAGGAAGAGCAGGGAACTAGTACCATGGTACGCCGGGTTCAAGGGGACAATCCAGAAGCACAAAGACGGGGAGAGGTTCACCTGCTCCGGCTGTTTTGAGGTGGAGGACACGAATCCGCTGCGGATCCGGGTGACGGAGCTCCCCATCGGGATGTGGACGGAAGACTTCCAGGACCACCTCAACCGGCTCTCGGACAAGACGGAGGACAGAGCTGCGATGATCTCCTCCTACACCACCAACAACTCGGAGGCAGTCATCGACACGACGATCACGTTCACGGAGGATGCAGAGAAGAAGCTGATGGAGAGTGGGAAGCTGAACAAGCAGGAGCTGATGAAGGTGCTCAAATTGATCAATCCCATCAGCCTCGGCAACATGGTCCTGTTCGCTGCTGACGGCAAGATCAAGCAATACTACAACCCTCTTGATATCCTCGCCGATTACTTTCCCGAGAGGATGAGGCTGTATGAACGCAGGAAGCAGATGCAGGAAGCTCGTCTTGCTGCTCAGGCCATGCGCTTTACCAATCAGGTGGGTCCGATCCTCGTCCCCCTCTCTCCTTCGACCTCCCCTTTATCCATCCATCTCCCCTTCAAACCCCCTCCCTCTCTTCTTGCTCTCTTTCTGCAGCTCTCTCTACCTCCCTCCCTCCCTCTGCTCTTCTTGCCGGTTTCTGCCGCTCGTCCTCCCCCTATTGCGTCCTGCAGCTGCAATCCCCGTTCCGCGCTGCTCCTCCTCCTCCGCCAACCTCACTCATGCACCAGTATCGCTTTCTCGGAGCGGTGGCCAGCGGGGAATTCAAGTTCGAGGGCAAGTCGAAGGATGAGCTTGAAAAGGAGCTGAAGGAAAAAGGTCAGAACGAGCCAGTCCTGGTCTCCTCCTCATCATCCTCATCCTCATCCTCATCATCCTTCTCCTCCTTCTCCTTCTCCTTCTCCTTCTCCTTCTACTACTACTACTGCTACTGCTACTACTACTACTCCTCCTTCTATTACTACTCCTCATCCTCATTCCTTTTGCAGGGTTCAACACACAGGAAGAAATTGAGAAGGTCTTCACTGAGAAGAAGCATGTTGCAGCGCCCAAGTCAGAAGGAGCCTCGCTCGAGTATGTGTATGCTTCCTCTACCATTCTGCATGTTCACTTCGATGGCGCAGGGCGGAGGAGGAAGAGGAAGAGGAGTTAAAGGAGAGCAACAATGGGTCTGATGACCTCGCTGTCTCCCCTACACTCACAAGGGTATTGGACAGGTTCGCATATCTGCTGCAGATGCCAATGTGGAGCGCAACGAGAGAGCGGAGGGAGAAGCTGAAGAAGCAGGTAAGCTCGACAGGAGGTGAACTCCGCTCCTGATCCGCTCGACCAGGTGGATCAGGTAGAAGGCGAGCTCAAGCGTTTGAAGGGTGAGAGCAAACAGTTCATTCCTCTGCCCTCCTCCTCTACATCCTCTCCCTCCTTCTCACTCCTTCTTCCTTAGGGATCTCGCCGGAGGACATCTGGCTTGCTGAACTCGATGCCCTCGAAACGAAACTTGGGACTGTGATTGAATCATAACATTAGTCACTTCTTTCAAGCCTGTTTGGCCCCTGACTGCACTGCTTAAGGAGCCGTCACGTCGATCTCAACTTTGGCCTGATATGCATCTTCCTTCTCCCATGAGCGTCTGACAGCACATCATATCATCATCAGTGTCATCACCACAGACAGACATCCCGTTATCACAACCTGTAGGCCAAGTCTACCACTTGAGTTCCAACACTCTTGGCGTCCAACACGAAGACTTGCTTGCCGCCAGCGCCAGGCATCTGAGTGCTTGGAGGGATGAAGTCACTGCTCTTCTTCTGCCATGGCACCATCGACGTCAAGAACGGCTGCGCTGCAATCATGCATGGAAAACATTTTCACCTCTAGACCGCTCCCCATCGACTTGATCACCCACATGTAGCCCGTCTGGGGAGATGGTCAGCTAAGAATCGCCCTCCTCCTTTTACGACACTTACACTCGGAGTTGAATTCATCTCTATCCTCACGGTTCCATCCTTCAGAACGCTCTACACACCAAGTTAGGAGGAACGCAGATACGAACAAACTCAACAAACAGTGCGGTAGTCTGTCTTCTGCTGGTCTATCTGTACAGTTGCTTGGGAGGTAGGAGGAGCTCCTGATGTTCCTTGTCCTGTCACTCCTCCTGCATTCATAAGAGCCGCCGCTAGTAGCAGCAGCGTCGCTGACATGGCAGCTCTCTGTAGCGGTGCCATCTCCTGCAAGTGGTCGTGGTTCTGGGAGGGTGGGGTGGGGTACATGAAGTACCCCTACATCTCCCTTACCCACATAGGGATGAATGGGGTGGTAGATCGATTTTGATGCGATTCAGATGTGGCTCATCCCCGCTCTGACCTCTCCGAACTGTGCACGCCGAGCCCGCCCAGGAGTCTGAAGGCCGCAGCACTCGCCGAGTGCTGCGGGAGTGCCGGGTCACTCCGCCGGTTCCCGGCGCCATAGATGCCCAGACATTACATGCGCTGCTGCTCCTTGATCCTCGTGCCCCTGCCAGACTGAGATATTCGATCCTTTACTCAAAGCCCGATCTCAGTTTGCCGCCGCGGCACAGTGACTGCCGCTATTAGTAAGTTGTTGACGTTGCCAGTACCGCCGGTAACGGCGGTACATTGTTACTTGCAATACTGAGAAGTTTGGCATTTGCACTCAGTTTCTCTGTTGTGACTCTTAAATTTCAACTTGCCTTCACTCTCCCCGGGGTGCTCCATCAGTTCTTGTTGCTCCCTCTCAGTGAAGGTTGTTCTCTTTCTCAGTCAGTTCTGCTTTCCATGCTTGATGCCCTCAGGACTTCTTGTCATCTTCACAACAACTCACCATCGCACATGGCAGCACTTCTCAATAGTGCAAGGAGTTGATTCATTTGTACAACTGCCATCTTTCAAAGGTTTATTACAAAAATCGAATGCAAGGTGAACATCAGCTGGAGAAGACGAGCGAGTGAAAGAGACTGAGAGGGTCCACCTCAGCCTTGACAGCTCCAGCTCCGCGCTACCTTCGACGTCCCTTGCTCATAGCTCTCTCCTCTTAGTTCCTCATGCTCGCTCCTTTGTCTGCAGTGAGACGGGCTCGGATGTTCACCTGCATGCACCTCGACCCTCCGCTCTTGCTCCCTCCCTCCTTGTCTTCTTCCTCCGACATGAACGACTTCCTCGAGGCAAACACAAGCCCCTGCCCCGGCCGCAGCTCCAGGATCCTCTCCCAGTCCTCCTGCACCAGCGGCAGCTTCGCCGCCAAGTAATGGTACCAGTCGTGGGAGTGGAAGCGATGGAGGACGGCGAAGGAGATCAGTTCCAGCAGCTCGGGCGCCAGCGTGCTGGGGTTCTGAGTGCTGACAGCCAGCCGCATGTTGTCATGGCGCATGAGGCGGGCGATGTTGACAATCGACTGGCTGAGGCCGTCGGACTCCACCCCTTGCATGTACTTGTGCGCCTCGTCGAGCACGAGGAGCTTCCCGGTCACGTGACCTCCCAGCGTCCTGAACTGCTCGACGAGGATCTGGAAGATGCTGTTGGCCTCTGCTGACGTCAGCATAGGGTCGGTCAAGTCCACGATGACGAGCTTTCCTGGTTTGCAGGCGTCTTGCAGGTCCGAGGACGTGCGAGCGAGCGAGGTGTTGACGGAGCTCTCCTGGACGATGGACTGCAGCAGTTGAATCCTCTGAGCCAGCGGACCAGCTTGAGTGGTAAGCTTGCACTCGCTCTGAAGCTGCTTGAGCAGCTCGGCGAGGGACATGCTGCTGTTGTTCCGCTGGTTCGAGCGCAGGAGTTGCGTCATCATTGAGACGTAGAGCTGATTGTCCTCCTCCTTCAACCGCATGATCCTCTTGATATGATCGCTCGTCAGTCTGTTCCACTTGAACAGCAGCGGCTTCACTGTCACTCCCTTCCCGTAGTACTGCTGGCGCTGCTTGTAGTAGCAGGGAGATACCAGGACGACCACGTCCTTCAAGTTCAGCTCACAAGGAGCTCCTGTCTTGCTGTTGGCTCGCAGCATCTGCTCTAGCATCGTGTTGGGGCTCATCAGCCCTGTCGCCTCCACCTTGGCTTGAGGGTTCGTGTCGTAGTGCAGGACCAGAGTGGTCATGGGCTTGTTCAAGTTAACGACCTTGGAGGAGGGGAACGGAAGCATGCATGCTTCCAACACGCAGCCGATCGTGTGGCTCTTTCCTCCTCCTTGTACTCCCACGGCAGCCATGCAGAAGGGCTCGGAAGTGTTGAGGTACACTGGCTTCCTCCTCCCTTCCCGGTCCACGCGCGAACCAAGGAGCGCGTACTCCTCCCAGTGCCTTGCTGCCAACTCGTCTCCAATGCAGTAGCCTCGGAAGGGATCCTCGTGCTCTTCATGCTTGTAGTCCCCCAAGAAGTACTCCTCCACATCCTCGTCGAAGGAGAAGTTGACCCTGAAGACGCTTGTCGCCTGCTCTGTGCTCGATGACGACCGTGACGAACTGGAGTCCGAACCCCCGTCTCCGTCCTCGAGCACGAAGCATCCCCTCTTCCAACTGTCGTCTTCCGAAGCGCTCGACATGTTTCTGTACGCGTTCAGCAGCATGGCGGCTCCATACGCTGCCTTGCGATGGAGGTCCTGCCCGAGAGGCCGGCTCCTCCACAGTCCCATCCAGTGCTGAGGGAAGAGAAGGGGCTTCCTGATCCCGCACCATTCCTGGATCACCTTGGAGAAGCTCGTGCGGGGATGCGGAGGAGTTTCCTTCAGGAACGAGTAGGCCGCATGGAGGTCAAGGAGGCTGGTGGTCTTGACCCTACACATCTGATACAGCGCCTTCATGGTCTCTGTCCCGTTGTAAGCGACTTTGATGACCTTCTCGTCGGCCATCAGGCTTGACAAGCCGTTTGAGAGCATGTCGGGGCAAGACATGACGTCGAAGACGAAGGAGGTGTTCTCGTCGATGCCGACTGCTATCACGCTCACGTACCCGTTTGCCCTCAGCTCACCGTGGCAGGAGACAGCCACAGCCCCGATGGTCTCACCGCACGCTCGGATCCGTTGCATGGCCAGGTCGAAGCAGGAGCCAAGATCAACGAGGTAAACGTACTGCACAGGAGGAGCTGTTGTATCCGACGACGATCCCTCAGGAACATGGATATAGGAGAACGTGAGGGACGGTTGGTTTGCTTGTTCTGCAACTTTAATGTCAAGCTTATCTTCGAACGCAGAGATAATGTCAAGATGCTGACCAACTGATGCAATCGACATGATGCGATCTCAAGCGAAAGTCTTGTATTGAACTTTTTTTTTGTTTTTGTGGAAGAGGCTGTTTCGTTTGCTCTGTAGGAACAAAAGAGCAGCAAGTACAGGAGAAAAGGGAGTAGCTGATTCAAGAAGACGACGGGGAAAGAGATTGGGAGAGGAGGAGGAGGAGGAGGGAGACGGGTTAGGCTGGCGGCGTGGCTGGAGTTCGAGGGGAACGTTTCCCTTTTACTTCAAGGGGGGGGCGGGGGGCAAGGCTACAAAAATCCTCAAGGTTACGAAAGGGTGGGTACTTCGATATAGAAACAGGGGGTGATACAACAAAGCGAATTATTACAAGGGGTGGGGTGGTACTAGAAGGCGAGAAGGTAGGTGATCAATAGACAAACAGGGGGTAGTAGAGATGACCGGTTGGTGTTTCAATGGGCCAACAGGGGGTCCAATCAGTAGTAAGAAGGGGTACTCCTGTACTAGTGAAGATCCTCTGCGTCCGCACTCGCGGTCCGCCGAGTCACGGTCATCCGGGATCACATCGGATGCCTCATGATTCTCAGCTCTTGAGCTCGGCGGCGGGCCCGTACGGTCCCGTCCCCGGGGCCCGGCCGGGCCCCTCAGCCGGGGGTTGAGACTCTGAGAGGTGAGCCTATGATCTCGGATCCGCCCGGCTTTTCAAGTTACTCAAAGTTAAGTTAAAAATCAGTACGAGGACAATCAGGAGAGTCGAGGAGGCTTGACCCTGACACTGTCGCACAGGCCAACGTGACGGCGAGACTGAGAGAAAAGACAGCGAGAACCAAACCCAACTTCCCGGGCCGCAGGCTGCCGACTGCGGCAGCCTCCGTGTCCCCCAAACTTAACTGATACGGCTTTACTTAACTGCGGATAATCATGATACGATCATCGCACTGCTACGCCGGGTATGCTCACGGCGGCACTGCGCGGCACTGCCGGGCGTCTGCCCGGGGGCCCGGCACAGTGGCCTGGGATCAACGGCCCGGTTTGCCGCGAGTCTACGGAAGTTAAAGTTACCCGGTTGAAGTTAAAAATCAGCCCGGTCGCTGTACGGTACTACGAGGACAATCTCTTTTACTCAGTGCCAGTGACTGCTTGGGACTCCCGAGTCGAGGCACTGCAGTCGGCGCAAACCAGGCTTTGCCTTCACTCAACTTGAAGCCGCGTAGTACTGTACACCCCGGGCCCGGTCACCCGGTGAGCCGGGCCCGGTCCATCCTGGGTCACGTCCCGGATAAGCGGGTGAAGGGTCGCCATGCTGATCGGGGATAAGGCATGGTGGAGGCTTGCAGGAGCTGCAGGAGGAGGAGCTATTCTTCTTCTCCTGCTAACCATCACAAGTAAGTCTCTTGCCAGATTGATACCTGCCATCTGCTACTTCCTCTTCTTCCTCTTCTTCTGTAAGTGTCAAAAGAAGATTTGATTCACAGGTAAACTCGCAGGTACTTCGCAGAGCCGGGAGAGCATGTTGCAAGCGTCAGCAAGACGTGTGCGCAGAGCTCAGATCAGGGCTATGTTAGGTGTGACAGAAATATAGTACTGCACTGTTGTCTGATTGATCATGGGCTAGGTAACCGTCCGAACCGTTTGCACCATCTGCAATCTCTGAAGCGAAATGCTTTGAATGAACTTCAAGGTCTTTCCTTATCCGATCTTTCCTGCTATTTGCTGAATCATGTAAAGATGCTCTGTCGACTGGTGAAGTCGTGAACTTCTTTATGAAGAGTCAAACAAACGGAACCACGGTCTCCATCGATTTTGCTTCTGCTATGTAAGGATTGAAGATGGATTATTCCTTGTTTGCAGTCGAGTTCTTCTTCTTCAAATGCCTCTAACAGCTCAGATCCATGTTCAAATGGAACTGATTGCTCAAAGGTGTTGAAGACATTTTCCAGGTTCATTCTCTCGTTAACTCGTGAGTGCAGATTTTCATTCCAAAGGAAGTTGCTTTCGAGTGCGGAGGACAAGATAACGCAGATACTTGCGTCACCTTGGTAGAATCCTGCACAGATAAGGCTGACGCATATCTTTCTGCTGTCTACAAGGTTTGTTCGTTGGATTGATAGCTCATGCCGTCGGTGTTGACCTTGCTCATAGAATGATCCGTTCCGGGCGACTGAGCTGCGAAAGGACTTGAATTGCCAATGCTTTGTCAGCAACGGTTGCTCTCCATCATGTAACGTAGCGCTCTACATGGTATGGGCCACTGGGACTGGTGTTCAGTGTCCTGCGAGACCCCCAGTGTACTTGGAGTCGATCGGGGCCTTCCAGGTATCTGCATTTCGCAAACTTGATGCATGCAGTTCTCATGAAGTTCATGAACTAGTACGGCGACCCCATGGTATCCAATGTGATGCCGTCGGACATCAGCTACGATTATTTCCCTGAATATCCCAACCCTGCTGGTTTGCGACTATGGCACCCTTCAGTGTTATCAGAGATTGACCATTCAGTGCAGGCCATGTCTTTGATGTGTCTGGGGTTCGTGAGCAGTATAGAAAGGATCCCCGGACGTCTTATCGGTCTGTTCTGACGCGCCTGGTGTACCTTTATGACCCTTCGATGTGATTCAGGTATCCTTCCAGCTACAAATACTACCCTTGGTATTACTACGATGAGGACATTTACAGTCCAAGGTATGTTTGCAAAGTTTACTTCATCTACAAAGCTCATTCGCGATATGTAGCTACTGGTCATACGGCTATCCTGCCTCTACTGACCCCCTTCTTGATTACGACCAGGTGAGTCCAACCATGACTTGTTGGACAAGGTTACGATTTCTAACTGCTGCAATGCAGATGACTGTGCCATCTTCTGGGAACTATTTCTACGACCCGTACTCTGGCCGTGTATATATGTATTGAAATGATGATACATCATCCTGTGTGAAATTCGTGTCAACCGGATTTGTACATCAAAGTCCTTCTATGTTGCAGATTTTCTGGCGTTCCATTTATTACAAGAAAGGAAATCTCGATGGATCAGTGAAGAGACGTGAAAGAAAACCCCGCCATCATGCTGACTTAGCAAGTCGGCTGACCCCAAACACCTCCGGTTGCCAGACGGGTGCCGGCTCTGCCGTGACCCTTGCGAGGCCTGCTCTGTTTCCACCGCAACTTCAGTCAGGCCACCTGGACAGCTTTCGAGTGAAATTCGACTCACCTTGCCGAAGCTCTTTGCCGACCTCTTGCCCTTGGTGGTCCGCTTGTCTCCTCTTCCGTCCATGGTTGTGAGGGTCTCAGCGGTCTGGAGCACGGGAGTTGCCATCTGGCCAGGGGCGAGCAGGCAGACCGGTCCAGCGCTTCTCAGTCTGACGTCCTGCAGCGAGGTAAATGGAGGGACTCCATGCCATGAGGGGGCTCACGCTCTTAGGAAGGACTGAGCCAGGGGCGAAAGCAGCCGAAACTGGGGCAAAGTCAAAGAGATCCAAAGGTGCCTCATAGAGTTCAAATCTTGTATGCACAAGTTTGATTTGTTTGCTCTGATTTCTAGAAGAACTCAGATAAAGACATGCTTGCGTCTCTTGTCCCTCTCCAATCCCTGTCAATTTTTTCTGTGCTGATTTGCTTCCTGTTTGCTCTATCACTCACAGTTTGTCTGCTGCCTGAATGTCTTGCCAGAAGTTGCTCTTGCACCACATGCGCCCACCATGACATTGCTTAAGATCTTTCAACTACTGTTACACTCTCCCATCATCCCATCAATGGTTCTCTCATCCCACAACTTGAACTGCACTCGTCACCCCAATCTGCTCTCCCCTCCTCTCCTGAGCTTCCCTTTCCCCATCTCATCGCATCTCCTCCTCTCTCTCTCTTCACAGCCTACTCCTCCTTCCCTTCACCCTGCTCCCATCCTCCTCCTCCTCCTCTCTTCACCTGCAATTGCGCTCATCATCACCATTTTCTTCAGCATCGCGGCCGCTCCGTGTGGCCTCCCCCACAACCCTGACCCTCCCCCACCCTCTCACCTCAAACCCCCACCCACATGTGCGCATCACCTACCCTACACAAATCACAGTCCTCCAGGAGAACCCCTTGTATATCTACAGGTACCCCTTATTATATGGTGAAATATTACCGGTACTATGAAGTTCTTGTCTGCACGACACCCACTTGTTGTGCATGTCTCAGTACCCCTACCACCACGTTGGAAGTACCCCGGCCTTGTCATTGGAGCAGTTCCTTGACCCCTCCCCCAATTTTCGCCACCGGTGCATACTAGGGAGCTTACGGGGGTGTTGTCATAAAGCACCCCTCTGTGGAACGGAACTCCCTCCTGCTTGCCACATGACAGAATTGCGCACAGGAGGGGATAGGATGGGAGAGAGAGGATGGGAGAGAGAGGATGGGAGAGAGAGGATGGGAGAGAGAGGATGGGAGAGAGAGGATGGGAGAGAGAGGATGGGAGAGAGAGGATGGGAGAGAGAGGATGGGAGAGAGAGGATGGGAGAGAGAGGATGGGAGAGAGAGGATGGGAGAGAGAGGATGGGAGAGAGAGGATGGGAGAGAGAGGATGGGAGAGAGAGGATGGGAGAAATGGGAAGAGGAGGGTGGGAAAAGGATCTGTGTCGTTGGACATGAATATATTTCGGTACACTTCTACTCCCCAGTCTCCCCAGACACCTTCGTCCTACTCTCCTCCAGCGCTCGTCCGATCGTGCGCTTCCTCTGGGTCTTCCTGAGCACTGCGGCGAAACAGTATTAGCAGAACAAAACGGCTTTCAATCCTCACCTCTCATCCCCACTCTCCGCTTCTCCGGAGATCTTTCGGATGTACTTGTACACCGTGATGTAGGACAAGTCTTGATACTTCTTCTTACATCTCGACTCCTCCCATGCGTCAGGGCCATAGATGTCCTCAACGATCTTCTTGTACGCGACATCGAAGCAGCTCTGGTAGTTGTCGATGGTGACCTCCTGCCCCTCCTCAAGCTCTCCTCCTTCCCTCGCCATCTTCTCCAGCTTCTCCATGACTTTCCTGGCCTTGCTCACGTTCTTGCGCATGTTCCTGTTGCCAAGGTCCGACGGCTTCAGCTGCTTGAGAGGTCCGATGCTTTTCCTCACTCCGTTCTCCACCAAGTGCTCCCCGACGTGCCATCGCTGCCACACGTTCTTACAGTCGACCTTCTGCGCGAACTTGTAGTCCTGCGGCACCATGTGTACCTGCCCGTCATCCCACACGAACACGTCCCCTTGCATGGACGACTGGGAGTCATGCCCGCCGGGATCACCAACGGTCGATGCAATGTTGTCCTCAACCCTCCTGTTGCTGTTGCTGTCGCAAGTGTCGTGCCCTCGCATGGCGATCTTGATGCTCTCCCGCACGTCGGCCTTGAGCGATTCAAGATCGTCCAGGGGCAGGTGCTCGTTGGCCCTTCCCTTGATTTTCTCCGCCACCTGATCCAGGATCTTGTCGGGTAGCTGGTTCAGTGCATAGTGCAGCTGGTTCTGGACCTCCACGATCTCCTTCCTGAACCTTCTGTTCTCCGCCAAGACGTGGTAGTACGGAGGGATCCCGGTGGATTTCATGCCGCAATCTTCGCATCTCATCGAGCCAGCCACGATTTCCGCCCTGAGAGATCTGAGGTACTCCATGGTTCTTGTCCCCTGCAGACCGAACATCGGGGCACCCCACAGGATGTGATCGGTTCCAAACCATTCCTGCAAGGTATCGATGTGATACACGATGTTGGCAAGGAAAACAGGCACGCATCTCTTGAAGCTGTCCGGGAAGCTCTCGTACCCATGGACAAACTTGTGTAGTCCGACTCCCCTGACCTTCTCCAGTCCTTTCTCGCTGAAATGAGGAGGCAGGTTGTCAAACGAGTCTGACATGACGTCGTTGCCCGCCAGGATCCTCCCGCAATACTGATCGTTGCTTCCTGCCTCGGTGATATACCCGTCCCTCGAGTTCCCAACTTTCCAACTTCCACGTATGAGGACGGAGGGTTCCGATGGGCCCCCGGGGATCGAGAGAAGGTGGGCTACGCTGCCCTTTCTGAAGCTTTGAGCTCCTGCACACCAACATCAATGACTTGATATCAGATCGAACGTACTGCACCCACCGAAATCCTTGCTATCTCCGCCATCCATACACGACAAAACCCTCTGCAACACTTTGCTGAATCTTTGCTTTTGATCGTTCCCTGGGAAGAACTTTGTGCTGTTCCCGTATCCTCGGGGTTGCGCGATGGTGTACAGCGCGAGTGCCAAGATGGGGCAGGTGTGAGGCTGGTGAGGAGCGGCAAAAACGTGCCTGACCTGTTGAGAGATCATATCTACACTGTTGCCAGCATCATCGTTCTTGGACTTCACGATGGTCAGCACCAGACTGTCGTTGCGCCAGTCGAAATGTTCCATGTGAAGCTCATCAAGGGTCTCACTTCGACAGCAGCAGTTCCAGAGGAAGGTCGCCGCCGCGTAACCGAACAATCCAGTGGCGCCATGCTCTCGATTCTTCTCCTTGGGCCTCCATGCTATCATCTCTTTGCAGATCGCGACGTATCCTTTCACTTGCAGGACGCTGTTGCCTTCCTGTGCTCGCACCTGCTCTGCTCTTGCCCCACCGATGCTCTCTGCATGCTTCTGTATCATGTCGTCCAAGTTTTGATCCAGCGTCTTCCCGGTCTCCTCGACACCGACGGCCGTGAAACTGACGTTGCGCTCCATGTAGTAGTGCTTCAGCGCGCTCTTGTACCCTTGCACTGATCCTATGGACAGAAGTTTCTGGTTGGCAGCAGGCGCATCCCCTCCTGCTTGAGCCTGACCTGCTCCTCCTGCCGCTGAATCGCTTGACTCGCTGCTGTTCCCCTCCTCCTCCCCAGCCTTCCTCTTCCGCTTCCTTCCTCTCGACATGCTCTTGCTCGTCATGAGATGCTCAAAAGTTTCCTTCACACAAGTCCAAGTAAGAGGAAGCCTCACGTTCCCTCCCTCATCCAGGAGGTCCCGGTAAGCCTCCTTCTTCCCTTCCTTCGCCTTCCGCTTCATCATGTTGACCAGCCTCAGCACTTTGTAGCGATAGACTTTCTGCGTGCTTTCTGCCGTCCGGTGCCCCTTCATGGTGCCCTGCGCATCAGCCATGCTCGAATCTTGTCCCCTCACATCATCCTGCATGATCACCTGAGCGACTTCGCTCCCGTCTGCTTGCGAACTGATCGTCGGGCAGAAGGGAAGGGAGGGGAGAGGTAAGGGGAGAGGTAAGGGGAGAGGTAAGGGGAGAGGTAAGGGGAGAGGAGAGAAGGAGAAAGGAAGAGAACAGAGATAAGGGAGACAGGGAGAGGAGAGAGGAAGAGGAGGGGAGGAGGAGGAGGAGGGGAGGAGGAGGAGGGGACTTCCGAGGAGGAGGGGAGGAGGAGGGAGGGTTTGGGATTTTGAGAACGCGGGGTCTTTGCAAAGTTCTTGACCGAGTTCGCCTCAGCATGCGGTCGGAGGCGGGGGAGCGGGAGGGAAAGGAGAGGTAGCAGGATCGGGACTGTGCCGACAGAGCTAGTGGACATGCCGTCAAGCTCACTCGTCGTCTCGGAGAGGCTTCGCTCTCTGCTCCTCTTGCCGCTCCTCGCCATCGCGCTCCTGGCGGGAGAGTCGTCAGGCTACTCAACCAGCTCCATCGCGTCCCGTCTGGTTGCCCTACAGCCAGCATTGGACACGAGCAAGATCACGAGGATCGCGGACTTCGCTGCAGCTGCCTACTTCCCCGACAACAAGTTCCAGTCATGGTCCAACGACAGGAAGCTGGTGATGCCGACGACGTTCACCGACGCGGCTTCCGAGACCAGGGGATACTTAGGAGTCGACGAGGAGGGAGGGCGTGTGGTGCTGTCCTTCAGAGGATCGGGGACGCTCAAGAACTTCTTGACAAACTTGAACTTCCAGTTGATCCCCTTCGACCACCCTTGTGTTAGCGTCCCGGACATTCGGGTGTGAGTTCGCTGCTTCGTGTTCATGTCGCGCCGTCTGACCTGCTCACCCTCCCGCAAGTCACCGAGGGTTCTCGACGGTCTCTCTCCGACTCTATGAGTCTCAGCTCAAGGACAAGATCCTTCATCTCACAGAGAAGTATCCTGACTTTGACCTGACGGTCACAGGTGTCACCTCTCCCTCCTTCCCTGCTGTTGCTCCTCGAACTTTCTTCTGCTGCGGCCCCCGCTTCTCACCCTCCTCGTCCTCTTCCTCTTCCTCTTCCTCTTCCTCTTCCTCTTCCTCTTCCTCTTCCTCTTCCTCTTCCTCTTCCTCGTCCTCGTCCTCGTCCTCGTCCTCGTCCTCGTCCTCGTCCTCGTCCTCGTCCCTCCTTATCCCATTGAAATGATTCCGTTGCAGGACATTCTCTTGGAGGAGGCGTCGCCATCCTGACATCGTATCTGCTCGCACACGATTCTAAACTTTCGCCTTCTTTGATCACCTTCGGAGCACCGCTTGTTGGTAAGACGCCCCAAAATACGCTCCTCTCCCGCTTACACAGCCTACCTTTCTTCCAACAGCTGCTTCTCTCCTCCTCCTCCTCCTCCTCCTCCTCCTCCTCCTCCTCCTCCTCCTCCTCCTCCTCCTCCTCTGCTATTCTCTCGCTTCTCGTGTCAAACCTGCCCTCAGCTCTTTAGCTTCATGGGCTCCTTGCATCATCGCACCGTCCTTGCGATCTACTCTGCTCGAACTTACCTTGTCCTCCCCATAGGCAACCAGCAGTTTGCCGACGCTCATGCTCTGTGTGTCCCAGAGATTCTTCATGTGGTTCACGACGCAGATCCCATCCTCTACAACAACGAGCCCCTGTGGAGGGACAACGGGTTCGTGCGGTCAGGACAGGTCTTGAACTGCTCCCCTCAGTCCTTCGAAGCACCACAGCCCTCGGAAGGATTCCGCGTTCCTCCTTGGAACCTGGTCGACCACTTGTGGTACATGGGACGGTATATGGGCCCTCAGCTCTAGTCTTATTCCATCGCTTTTCTTCGCCTTGAAGTAGCTCCCTGTTGAAGTTTATCCCTGTCGTTAGGTACTAGTCTGAGTATATGAACGCTACATTTAGCCTCTGATCGGATTCAGGCATGCTGCGGCAGTAGTAACGCTGTGCCGCCAGTAAGCCGCACTGCAGCCCTCTGCGGCACTCTGTTACAACTGAGGGGAGAAGCTGGACAAGATCCACCGTGACTCGAAGTTCAATAGGGCTCCGGCTCGGCAGCCTGGCACTGACGGGGTCCGAGTCTCAATCAGGACTCCGGAGAGCCCCGGGCCGGGCCGCCGGGCGACCCCGGCCGGCCCGGGGAGTTCTAGTGTAGGACAAAAGATGCGATAAGGGTGTCCAGCAGGAGGTAAGAAAGTGGGACAGGAGGATGGAGTCGGACGAGGATCAGCACGGGTCGGAGGCACTTGAGGGATCCCTCTCTGCCCTGCAGCTAGAGGACACGACCGAGATCGAGGAGGTCGGCGATTTGAGTACCTCCCAGTTAGATACTAGCGCCGTCGGCTATCCTCATGATCAGTCTTTCCAAGTCCTTGAGCTGCCCAGGGGCGATCTTGATTCCCTTCCTCCTATCTCACGGTCCTTGTACGAGGAGACCACAGAATGCGAGAGGAAGGGGTGGGAGAGGAGGCACCAAGGGCAGGAAGAGCAGACAGACGATGACAGGTGGACATTTGAGCAAGAGAACAAGCGTCAAGCCTTGTATAGAGCTCTCTTCTACCCGAGGTAACCCGCAGCTCGTCCCGTATGCTTCTCTGGTTCCTTGAGACACGTTGGGCAGGAGCGTCATACCGAAACCGGATGACGACGTTGATTACATCCGCGCTTCAGAGCTCTTGGTTGAGAAAATTGAGGAGGAGAATCGGGGGCAAAGTTTTAGAGATTGCGAGACCAGCGAAAGACCAGCGATCTTCCATGGCGTCTTCATGCACGAGGATGTGTGTTCGCGAGCAGACGTGTTGGAGTACTTTGGAAATGGTGGAATTTCGAGCTCCTGTTGTTGTTAGCTCACTTTGTCTTCTTTGGGTTGAAGGGGAATGGGGTGTTGTGAAGATCAAAACAAGCAAAACATCCTTTGGGTGAGATCAGTTGTTGTCTTGCAAGTTACTAAGACCCTTCAAGCGACAACGATGCTTATGAAAGCCTCGCGTTTCCAGTCTACGTGGTCAAACATTGTGGAATCAAAGTGACCAAAGTGCGTTCGTCTTGTGATGCATCGTCAAGTTTCCTGATCAACCACCAGGCAGCAGCAGTGTACGCTAATAGAGATTTCCAGATACAAATGAATGAAGCAGCATTGTAGAGTTTTCATAATGAGGAGGAAACGTTTCTGACTCGCCTGGATAGCTTCAAGAGGGATGATTTGACCGACGTCATTTTCAGAGGAGGAGTCTTGCAGGTAAAGTGAGCTTCAAGTTTGCTTCCTGTCACTCGAGACTTGTCTCCAGGTGCTTGAGGGCGATCAAAACGCCCCAAAATCCATCGCGCATGTCCAGTCGGTGACTTCCCGGGCTGAACCTCCTCCCAAGATAGTCGTACCGTCCTGCAAGAATTGTAGTTTCTTTCAAGATTGGTGAGAGGCTCCTCGTCCTCTTCCTTGCTCAGTCTTCCTAGCCATGCGAGAAAACTGCGCCATTCAATCTGGGAGCTTATCAGGTCTGATGTGTTTGCTCAAGGATTCCCTGTCATTCTTGACAGGCTGAGACCTGAACGATTTGAAGAACTGAAGAAGATCACGCTTGAGGTCGAGAGTTGTTGCTCCTTCCCTACTCGTTCTCATCAGCTCATCTCATGTCATAGATCGAGGAGATCCCCTCCTCTTTCAAGCTCTCCCAAACCAACATGATTGTCAAGCAAAGTGTCATAACTAACTCTCCTCAGATTAAAGAGCAGCAGCTGCAAGAGGTAACCTTCAACGCTTCCGTCACCACGTTGTCTTCCTCCTTCTCCTAATCCTCCTTCTCTACTTGTTTATCTCCCTCTTCCTGATCGCTTTCCCTTTCCCCCGCTTGCTGATTCTCATGGATCTAAAGTCCGTCTGTAGATGTTCAACAAGATTGTTCGCCCTTGTTTCTACCTGGACTTCGAGGCCATTCAGCCTGTATTCCCATGGCAAGAAAATCTTCTCCTCTCCTCCTCTAACTTCCATCGTTATCCCTCCGGCTCTTCTCTCCCTCCTCAACTCCTCTCTCCCCCTGCTCCTCGCTTCCTCTCCCTCTCCTCCTTATAGTTGCTATGGCAGGTTTGAGGGCATTCGCGTCTACACCATTATGGTCTCTTCCGCCCCCTCGCAGTCGCACACCAGCCTGACTCTGCTCCAGGTCTTTCAGTACTCCCTTCATCTCGAGACTCCAGAAGGCACTCTAGAACATCGCGAGTATCTCGCCGACCCCACGTCTCCCCCAGCTAATCCCTTCCTGCTCTCCTGACGGGAACTTGACAGGACGGATTGGAGGGAGGACCTCTTGAAGCATCTCTTGGACGACCTCGAGGGAGAGGGTTCCATCCTCGTCTACCACCATTATGAGAAGGACCGCTTGACGGTCCTGCTGCTCCTGCTCCTGCTCCTGCTCCTGCTCCTGCTCCTGCTCCTGCTCCTGCTCCTGCTCCTGCTCCTGCTCCTGCTCCTGCTCCTGCTCCTGCTCCTGCTCCTGCTTACTCTTTCTGCTTCTCCTGTTCCGGTGCACTTCTCCTACTGATCGCTCATTGCAGGAGTTGCAAAAAGCTTTCCCGGCGTACAGGGATCGGGTATGTGTAGAGGCAAATGAGGAGTGGAGAAATATGAATAGCAGACAGAGGGGAGGAGCAAGTAGATTAGAGGGGAGTGAAGCAAAGGAGAGAAGGAGAGGAGCTGAAGTGGAGAAGCGGAGGGATAAGATGCATAGAAGGGAACATGATGAAGAGAAGAGCGATACAACACCAAGGGGAGCATAGGACAGTGGCGGGAAGGGATGGGTATCCTCTACTTTCTCCTTTCCTCCACCTCTCCCTTTCTCAAACCCCTCCGTTCAGATCCAAAGAGTCATCGATCGTCTCGTCGACGTGCTTCTCGTGCGACTTTCCTTCGTCTTTCCCACCTGCTCACCTTCCTCCTTCAGATCCTGAACTCCACAGTCTACTACCCCGACTTCAGAGGTTCATATTCCATCAAGAAAGTCCTTCCTGTCCTAGTCCCTGCATACAAGACTGCCTACAAGGTAGCCGCTGCGTCCCCCTCTTCGCCGAGTGCCCGCTCTGCTCTTCCCGCTCCTGTCCTGTCCTCTGACGCTCTCCTCTCTCTCATTTCTTTCCCCTCTCCTCTCCTTCCTCGCCTCGCTCCTCTCTCGACTCCTTTCTTTCCTCGTTCCTCTCTCCTCTCCCTCTCCTCCCCTCCCCTCTCCTCTCCTCTCTCCCCTCCCCGTCTCCATCCAGGATCTGAAAATCAACAACGGTCTGCTTGCCTCGGTCAAGTTCCAAATGATGCGAGAAGCAGACCTCGAGGAGGTGAGTCACAAACACCACCATCTCCTTCACTTTGTCTTGCTCGTTCTCGTCTTCGCCATCCTCGTTCCTCGCCCTCGTCCTTCAAGGGCCATGGTCGGGCCTCTTCCTCTTCCTCTTCCTCTTCCTCTTCCTCTTCCTCTTCCTCTTCCTCGTCTTCGTCTTCGTCGATGATTCAAATCGTTTGAGCCCGGCGCCATTAATGTCGCACTGCACGCGGCAGGCTCGCATCATTCGTGGTCAGCTTCTCGAGTACTGCAAACTTGACACCATGGCCATGGTCGAGCTCCATCGGGAAGTCGCCAGGCTCGTAGAGGCCCTGAACCCGGCCCCGAGTTCACCGGCACGGACCGGCGAACTTCGGCGGGCCCGACCATCGGACGGGCCTCAGGCTCCCGGAACTCGGCCGCTAATAACTTGATTGCATAATTATAAGCATTATACATAATTATATGATAAAAAATAAAAATAAAAAATGACCAGTCGGAGTAAAACAGAGTTGACTAATTTCGGAACGTCATGTCGAGAAGGCGAAGGGGAAGGAGGAGGGGGGGGAGGAGGAGAAGGGAGGTTGAGGGTAGTGAAGGGAGTTAAGAGTAGGATAAGTAAGAGAAAATGGTCAGAGATAGAGGAGCAAGTGGAAGCATGGGAGAAAGTGGGGGAGGACGAAGTAGTTGAACGCAAGTTAGAGGAAGAAGTTGAAGAGGAAGTATGGGGAAAGGAGGAAGGTCCTGCGCTTCTTATGGTGAACCAGACCAAAGTGCATGCTGAAGTGTCTTACATTTGCGTGTGGTCTTGCTTTACTTGTGGAGAAACTAGAGTTCTTTGCGGAGATCGTTTGACAGCTTAGCACTCAGGGGGTCTTACTGGAAATCTTGTCGTTTTGCTTTGCATGACTTGTACTCAAGCTCGGGATATTAGCTGACATATGTCACAGTGCATGATCAAGATGAGCAGGACCTGAAGAAGAGGATGGCGTTTGCTGCCGAACCTCCCCGCAAGAGGGACATGAAATATCACGAGGACGACAATAAAGAAGTTCAAGAGACTGCTCTGAAGAGAGAGCTTGATGTGTTCGATCTCACAATCATCGGTGTCGGAGGGATCGTGGGAGCTGGGATCTTCGTCCTCTCCGGGCAAGCAGCAGCCATGTACGCGGGCCCTGCGGTGGTTCTTTCCTTTGCGATCGCAGGAGGGTGTTGTACAATCTACGCTCTGTGCTTTGCCGAGCTCTCCACCATGGTCACAGACACTGGGAGTGCGTACACGTACGCTCGTCTCGCCTTCGGGAATTTTGTCGGGTGGATCGTGGGATGGTCGCTGGTGGCAGAGTACTTGTTCTGTGTCTCTGCTGTCTCGGTGGGATGGAGCGGTTATGCGAGCGAGATCTTTCAGCAGCTGGGAGTTCCTCTGAGCTCCCGATGGAGTACTCCACCCTTAGCCTTCGACGAGAACCACAACATCTACTTCACTGGTGCTGTGCTCAACGGCCCTGCTGTCTTCCTCGTCGTCTTCGCCTCCATCATCGTTGGGCTCGGCGTCAGGATGTCAGCCATCGTTGCCAAGGTCAGCGTGCTGATCAAGCTGGGGGTGATCGCGACGTTCCTTGCCTGCGGCATGTTCTTCATCCACGGAGAGAACTACAGCCCCTTCGTTCCCGAGAACAAGGAGGGCGACTTCAAGGACTTCGGGCACTTCGGGTGGTCAGGAGTCTTGAGAGGGTCGAGCATTGTATTCTTTTCCTACGTCGGTTTCGACGCCATTACTACAGCAGCATCAGAAGCCAAAGATCCGAGCAACGACCTTCCCAACAGCATCTTCTTGAGCCTGGGGATCTCGACTGCGCTCTACATGCTGGTCCGCTTGCCCTATTCCTCATGCTTCCTGCCCTCTGCCTCCTCCTGCTTCTTTTCTCCTGCCTGCTTCTTGCCTTGAGCGAGCTATTGACTCCTCTCTACAGGTCGCCTTCGTCATGTGTGGCCTCGTCTCCTACACAGCCCTGGGAGTTGCCGACCCCATTCTCGTCGCCGTCAAGGCTGCAGGCCCGGGGCTGTCCTGGCTTGTCCCCCTCATCGCCGTCGCCGTTGTAGTCGGGCTGCCTGGGGTTGTGGTGGTGTCGCTCTATGCTGTGACCCGCGTGCTCTACGTCATGGCGCTTGACGGAATGCTCCCTCGGCAGTTCCAGGAGGTCAACGAGACCTTCAGCTCCCCGATGTTCAGCACGGGCTTTGCTGGAGTGCTTGCTGCCATCATCGCTGCCTTGTTCCCCATCTCGGCCATCGCTGAGTTTGTTTCCATTGGCACCCTGCTGGCCTTTGCTGTCATCTGCTATGCTGTCGTCTCCTTGAGGGAGAAACGCCCCGACATGCCGCGCAACTATCGCGTAATCCTCCTCCCCTCTCCTTCCCCCTTCTTCGTGCGTCCGCCTGACCTTTGTCGTCAGGTACCTTTCTCACCCTACCTGCCTTATGCAGGCATGGTCATCGCTGTTTCTCAGGTTTGACCTCCTGCCACCCTCCATCGCTCCTTCTGCACGTTCCTCTTGCACGTTTGCTCCTCTTCTCTCTCATTTTCCCTTGAACTTCCTGTCGTGACTTGCGCAAAAGATCCTCTTCCTCCCCTGGATGGCGTGGGTGCGGATGTTGTTCTGGATCTTGATGGGCCTCGTCATCTGGTACTTCTATGGAAACCGTGTGGAGGAGAAGCCATACTCCTACGATCGGGTAGAGTAAGATATCAGAGCGAGTGCAAACAAAATCTTGGGGCTGAAACAAGGGAGAGGTGAGTAGGAAGGCGAGAGGCAAAGGGATACAGAGCATGAGCAGCGAAGCGTGAGCAGCGCATGCCTTGATACCTAGTCTCTTCCTCCGCTTGCTCCATCCCCTTCAGCTCCCTTACCAATGCTGGACCCCTCGAATGAAGAGCTGCTTCAGCTTGCTCATCAGCTTCCAGTCCTCACTAGTCATCTCCTCCGCGAAGTGATCTTTCATTGCCTGTATCCCGTCCCGGGTGATCTTGCTGTAAAGTTTCACCTTGTGATCGAACTGCCGCCCATAGAGGATGTGTGACTGCTGGTCGTTGCTGGGCTCGATCTTCACTGCGACGCTCATCCCGACCTTCGCCACCTTCACCTCCTTGTGGTTGTTCTGGATGGACGTCACTTTGCCGATCTCTAGAAAGTTGAGCTCAGGAATGCAGAGAGGCGTTCCAACCTGCCAGATGACAGTTGAGTCTGAGCCGCGAGGAGGGGGGGGGGGGGGGGAAGGGGGGAAGGGTCAGGTGAGGGCGAGGAAGAAGAGGGAGAGAGCTAAATGTGAGCTTGATCAGTGGGAGGCATGAGGGAGAGGCAAGAATCAGTGAGGCAGGAGAAGAGGTAGCAGGGCAGGGGGAGAAGGAGGTACAAGAGGAGGGAACATGAGACGGGGAGCAGGGGAGCTAGAATGGAGTACCTTGAGCGAACCCTCCTTCACCTCACAACCGAGAATGATCGGATTTCTCTTGTTGAACACGTTCTTTGGGATGATACTGAGGATCACAGGGAAGACGGCGACGCCATTGGAGTACAGCTGGACAGGTTGTCATGCACGGAGCGGGTGCGGGGTGACTTGACCTGCTCCCTCTTTGCCGCCTTCTTCTCCTCCATGAAACTCTTGAACTGATCGAAGAGATGGTAGATGATGTTCGCTGTAAAGATCTTGATTCCAGCCTTCTTTGCAAGCGCCTCTGCCTCAGGCACAATCTGCTCGCTGTCAGCTCCGTTGCTTCCGCTTCCTCCTGCTCACCTTCACATCGAAGGCCAAGATCATGGCCAGGTCTGGCGCTCGTTCGAGCATTGCACTGCATGAGATTGAGAGGAAGCAAACGCATAGATGTCGATCACAAGTGACAAGAACAAGAGGACGCGACAAGACATAGCAGTCGCATCAAACACCCACCACGATGTTCAACTCTCCCACATCATCTCAACAAGGGACAAGATCTTTCCAACCTGGCTCGGATGACATCTTTCTTGTGCACGGGCCCGATGTTGATGGAGGCAACAGGAATGCTCGAGTTGTGCAGGAAGTCCAAAAGTGCCTCCAGAGCTCCCAAGGTCGATGCCTTGGAAAATGTCAGTCTGATAACTCCTTCCTCCTCCTCCTCCTCCCTCCATCTGCTTGCCAACCACCTCCCTTCACCTTACTCTTTACCCCCCCCCACCCCCCCCCATTCTTCTCCCAACTCCTTTCTCTTCACTCCCTCCTCTTCACTCTCCCCTCCTCTGCCCTTCCTCGCATGTTACCTGGACATGAACACCTTTCCCGGACTTGTCCACGTCTTTCTTCAGCTCCTCAAGGTCTTCCATCACCGAGCTGGGAAATGTCAATCGCCGCCAACAGTACCCTCCTCCCACCTCTTGAGCTCCTCTATATCATCTTCCTTCTCCAGTCTGAGCAGCGACGTTCCTGAGAGCGAATCAAGACTAAGACGTCTCCTCGCCCTTGTCACCTGCTACTGCTCCTTCCAGACCGCTCGCTGCAATCTTCACGCCCATGGCGGCCTGCAGACTTGATGTCACGGGCGGGAGAGCGACGGCCATGCTTGCCTCTATGCTCTTGTGGTGGACATACTCGTTCTTCACGCGCAGTTCTTTCATAGGGTGAGGAGTGAGGAGAGTCCTGATGGTCGTGACGATTGGGCCCTGCATGCCGCAAACCACAATCGTGTCGCCCTCGTGCAGCTCTCCATGGACTGCCGAAACGACCGGCGTCAGCATCTGACACTCGAGGAGGGGAAGGAACCAAGGATAATATCGAGCGTGGTCCCGAAGCCTTCCGTCACTTTGACCTTTGGTGAAACTTCAGTGGGGAGGAAGAGGAGGAGAGGAGGAGAAGCAGAAGTGAGAGGAAGCGAAGGGAGTTGCCAGGACGAGCAGCGGAAGGCGATGAGCAGACCTCAAGAACCGTCGCCTCAAGAGCTTCGCTGAGCATCAATCTGAAGGGAACGTTCAGCGAAGAAGGGACGGTGAGTGGGAATATCGACCTGTCGACCAACATCTTCTGGGTCAACTGGATGCCGAGGAGGAGGAGATCAGGGACGCCTTCACCGGTGATCGCCGATGTTGGAACCACCGAGACCACCTGCGACAAGCAGAAGTGAATATGCACGCGCAACCAAATCAATCTGTTTGTGACTAGGAGAAATTGATGGCAATCGCCAGTTCTTACTTTTCTTGGGTTCTTGTTCTCGTAGTAGAGATCAGCATTCAATCCCTGGCTAGCTATCTCTCCCTTCATTGGGTGTTACCATCCACTGAGTATCCGTACTTCAATCACCTTAATCCCTTGCCACCTGCTTTCAAACTCTCTGACTGTATGGCTCTTCTGCTTGGCTAGCGTATCCTGTCGATGAAGCGATATTACAATGAAAGGTTGGCTCCAGCAGGACAAGCAGCACCTGTATCGGAGAATCTTTGTTCGGCTGCCAATCATAGCATCTGATCTCGAGTTACAACGTCTTTGAGTGTTCAAGAACATGGAATGACCGATCGATCTTGTTCAAGGCGACAAGAAAAGGGCACCTCCTCCTCTTCAACAGCTGCAGAAATTCAGCACGGAAATCTCCGACACGCCTTCCCAGTCACCTGCAGAGATTCGATCGTCTGGGGCTCCAGCCCGTGCATGATGTCGACAACGAGGACGCAGATGTCGCAGATCGAAGTTCCTCGTGACCGGAGGTTGCTGAACGATTCGTGTCCGGGGGTATCGATCACCAGCAGCCCGGGAATCTTGTAGTCGACCTTAACAGAATGGGACACCTGATCCGTGAGCTTGCGCAGGTTTGTCATGGGGAAGAACGTCGCGCCAATCTGCTGTGTGATCCCTCCCGCCTCTCCCTCTTGCACGTTGGTCTTCCTTACTTTGTCCAACAACTTTGTCTTTCCGGTGTCCACATGTCCCAGTACACAGAGGATGGGCGACCTCAATCTGGCAAGATTCGTCAGAGAGCTGAGAGAGGCGAACAAGATCATCGAGAACAGTCCTTTCACCTGTCTTTGCTTCTCGCTTGCTTCGCGTCTTCCTTCCTTTGCAAACGATCCTGCTTCGCTGCTTCGATTCTTGCCAGCAGTGCCTCGTCGACCTGCGCACTTTCCTCCTCGTCGCTCTCCTCCTCCTCGCCTTCTTGCTTCCTCCTCCGCTTCTCTTCCTCTTGTTTCCTGGCTGCCAGCAATTCCTCTGGTATCTTGTACTTGTCGTCTGTATTGAGATACTGGATGTCCTGTGTCAATTCCTCCAGGTCGACCGCCTCTTCCGCCTCCTGCGTGTTCGCTCCTGCCACGTCCTGATCGTCACTGTCGTCTGATGAAACATAGCTCGATGTCCCCAGCTCCGACGAGCTCTCCCCTTTTGCTGCTCCTCCCCGCAACCGCAGTCGCGCCGAAGATGAAAGCTGTGAAAAGTCGTTCAAGAAACGCTGCGAGGTCGACCCTGAGGAGACGATTCGAGGAAGATGGATGCCAACCTTGTGCTGCGAACTCTCAAGAAGCGTTGTGCATCCAACAAGCAGCAAGATTGCAACGGAAACGTAAAACTTGCTGTGCGCGTCCACGGCGAATTCCCGAAACATATTAATCGAACTATGTGGAGGAAAACTCTGGGAACTCGGAGACCGGCTGAACCATCAGACGCTGCGAGCAAGATCAGGTTGCAAGAATGAACACCATCGATGAAAGAGCTTCAATCCACTCTCTCTTCAACTTCTATCAAGAATGTGTGGGAGCACCAACTCAAACGGGTTAGAGATAGCGGTCGTGAATCAATGACTTTCGGCTTTCGTCACCCCAAGACTAAGAGCATTTTGTCTTCCAGAGCATCAAAAAGCCGTCCCTCATGTACTGTCTCCTTTCTACCATATCTTTCATGCATCGAAAGTACATGATCACTTGGCCCCCGTATCGCCCTCAGCAATCATTCCATCCCTCTCTGGAGTTCTTCACTTTCATGCTCATCCCCTTTCTCTAGCACTGTTCAAAGGACATCTTTCATCCTAATCCTTATTCTCCTCCTCCTCCTCCTCCTCCTCCTCCTCTCGTAACGGCGATCGCATTTCATCGATCCTCATAGCGACCGCCCCCGCAAGTACCCCCACCCCCTCTGACCAGTTTCAGCCAACAAAATCTTTCCTACCCCACTTTGAGTTAATCCACCTACCACTACCACCAACGACATTACTATTGAGCACCCGTCCTAGACTACCCATAGATACAATATACCCCACCACTTTGTATCCACCCCAGCTTTCTCCCCACCCCGTCTCCTGTAGGGAATTCTGGTGAAATGCAAGGGTGCTTCGAGCTATTGCCTGCTACTCCCCCCACCCACCCCCACCCCACCCTCCTGATGAGGTAGGCTAAGCGTTTCACGCCAGGCCCAGAGGTCCAGATGTCCAGATCCCGTGGTACTAACTTTACTCAATAAATTTGAAATCATCTGGACCAATGGCATAAAAGAGAATTATATTTCCAAAGGTCGAGATGGTGAACCGTTGTGGTCGAGTTTGTCAGCAGGGTGATTGCACCCTCATACCCATGCTTCCCGCCCTTCCCTTCCTGCCTTGCTGTGTACCCCGTGCGGACTCCAGTGATGAAGCTCGAGTTTGCCATTAGCTCGAGCTAATGGCAAACTTGAGTACCTTGAGTACCTTGAATCCCTGTCGCATGATGACGAAAGTATTCTGGAGACATGGACACGTTGTGAGATGCTTCTGTTGATGTGCAATGTGACGGGCAATGACGAGAAAGCGCCTGAACTGGGGGGAATGGGTGGAGACCCTATTGGACAAGGAAGTCATTCTTCGCCTTTAACGTGCAGGCCGTGTGTGATGCCAATCGAAAGGGTGCAGCCCTAGCAAGAGATGGCAGAAACATTGGAAATGGAATGTATATAGTTGGAGATGCAGCATACAAAGGAATTCCTGGAATAATCACTCCTTTTGATGGATCAAAGCTCCCAATTTGGCAAGACAGTTATAATTTTCATCAATCTCAAATCCGGACTAACATTGAGTGCGCATTCGGAATGTTGAGGAACAGATGGGGAGTGTTCTGGCGTGGATTACGCACAGACTCACTGGAAATTGCAAGCACTAGTGTGAGTGTATGTTTGCAATTGCACAATTTTATATTAGACATGGATGGAACAGATGCCGATCCTCTTGAGGAAATTATTGTAGAATAGGAGTACTGCTCCCCCGTGCCATGCCAGGACAGATTGTCAGAACAGCATCGACCTATCTTGAATGAAAACGGTGGTCCAGCTGATTTTTGGTCGAGTTCTCCCATCAACGCCATGGTTACTGACGAGTTTGACAGTGTCAGTATCAGGAACAGTCTAGTTGAAACACTGCAAAACATGCAGATACCAAGACCATCCTGGAATCAAAGGCCGCCGCCAGATTCTTCGATGTAAAAGGTCATTACTGGATCATTCAGAGAAATAAATTTTTTATGTCATACCTTGCATAGACGCAGCAGCTAATGCATTACGTCTCGCTCTGATTTCTTGAAGAGAAATTTTGATTTGCGATATTTCATCCTTGAGGGTCTCAGCAATCACATGGTCAACATTAGAGCCATATGACTGCAACTGATTGGTGATATTTAACAGGTCGTTACGTCGAAGACTCTCCTGCTTGCCCAACTCTGTTATCTGTCTCTCTGTCTCCGTTTGTTTCAGACGATTCACCACTTGCTGAGATGTTGTGTCGTCATCGTCGTGTTTCACAGAGATGTTCTTTTGAAGAACGTTTTCCTTCTTGGAGGAAGATTTGCCGAACTGAAAGTCTTCCCTTGAAGGCTTTGAACGATACCTCTTGCGAACCAAATGACCTTTGTCATTACCGGACATATCCTTCATGAGTGGCTGATCAAGTGGATATCCACAATCATCCTTAGGTGATTCAGGAGAGGTACCAATGGCAGCAGATTGACTGCAATGCTCTGGCAAGCCCTTACCATCATCATTGATAGCAAAACTTCAACCAACATGACGAGCACAAACGATGGTGACATACATGTGCAGAGCAGAAACGATGGTGAGATACATGTGCAATCATGGAACCGGCAGGGTCGATTGGTTGGCAACATTGCGCACAGACAGTGAACCCTCTGCCTGACATGAAGTTCTGCGCGGCCGTACCGATACCGGCCAAAGCCAGGTAGGGGAAGGGCCGGACATCAAATGTACCTAGTCCAAGCTCCGCACTATGCCGTAATACATATCTAGGTATTTAGACGATGGCTAACCTTGCCTATACCACCCAACCTAAACGACGGGCTCGGGCGGGAAACGACCGTGACTGGATCGTGATAATTTCATATTTAAAAATATGTATATTTGAAATTTATTTGAAACAGGTTCTGGGGATCTGGACCTCTGGGCCTGGCGTGAAACGGGGTCAGCAGAAGTCAGGATAGGTGGGTAGTTGTAAACCAGGGGGGTAGGGTTATATTCCTAGAAGGAAGGGTTCTTTTTGAGAATGTAGGGTGGGGTACTGTACCGCTGAATCTGACTGTTAAATGGGTGGGTACTGACATGGAGTTTTTTGGGTAGGGGTGATCAATGGGAGCGTGAGGAAGGGCAGAGCGCGGGAAATGTCGGATTCTGCGAAAATCAGGTGAAGAGAAGAGAGGAAATGGAAGGGGGAAGGGATAGAAGTGAAGGAGAAGATAGGGGCAGAAGGAATGGCGGACGGGAAGGTAGGACGGCAAGGTAGGACGGGGGAGAGGAGGAGAGAGGACAGGTTCAAGTCAAGCTGACAAGAACGAAGAAGTTGGACAGCAACAGATTTCAGCAGATGATAGCTTCACGAGAATAGTCGAAGGGCGAGAGAAACAGATTTTTGAGCAAAGCACATGGGATCTGGGAATGGAGATTGATCAAGCTTATGGAATCAGAACGGAATAGCCGTGGGGTTGTGAAGCAGGACAAGATGAGAAGCAGATTATGAAGGGCTATGATGCCTAAGTTGATGATCTCATGGAGATTTGCTTCATGCCACCACGACATTGTGTGACTTCCTACTTTGACAGCCCAAAATTTCTGAATTTTGCTACTCCGACATTTCGTGGGATCTGTTCCAGACTCCATTTTCCCCTTGTCGGGGAAAGGAAATCCGACAAAAAAGCTATGGAAGAGGAATGTGGTAGAGAAGAGGTTGAAATGACACCCGACTGTAACTCGTGTGTTTCTGCCGTCGGAAACCATGAACAGTCTCGTCAACACAAGTCAGATGTAGCGATGGAGGACAGTACTCTGAACAACAGTGTTTCTGTATCCTTGAGGTTTGAGAATATGGTTGTCAGTCCTCCAACACAGATCAAAGACAAACGCAAGAGACGACGTCCTGGAGCGCGGGACCTCGACCTTTTCACTCTGACTGACAAGTCAAAGAAGGCTCGTGGATCACCTTCCTTACGTGAAAGAAGAGAATGTGAAACATCTACAGAAGATTCGAAAAGCATGGATCCTGCTAACATGATGGAATCTCCATGTGTCAACAACCCAGTATCGAATTCGAGGGTTAAGCTCAAATTTGGAATCGAGGACCTTGTGCTTCATGAGAATTGTAGCATGGACTTTAGTGACGAGAGCCCGGAGAAAAAATTGATTTGCATCAAATTCAAGAGCGAAGAACAGATCCATTTCTTTTATGTGTATGGTTTTGCAGTGACTCCGGATTTGTATGCTCAAGATTCATATTTTGTTACTGATGGCAAAAGAGTTTTTGCAATTTTTCTACATCCCAACAAAAGAATTACAGACAAGAATCTTGTAGTTTTTGCAGACGACTCTTGGGCAATTCTGAAGGTAACAGACTTCTTGATAGAACCTATGCAACCTCCATTGCCATCTCCAGCCAAGCTCAGAACCAGACAAACCAGACAAAGTCAGGATCTCTGTTCACTACTTCGCGGATGCGTGGTACTTCCACGTTTTCAATCTTTCGTTTTCTCGTGTTGCCAGGGAGAACAAGCAACTATTTTGTACAGATTCAAAGATCAATGGAAGAAGGTGATCATTGACAAAAAGGAAAAGAGGAGTTCTTACTTCGTCGTTCTGGAAGATGGAAGCAAAACTAAAGTCAGAATGCTAGAATCAAAATACTTGAATGCGTCGGATCTTGGCACGAAGTTGAAAAGCAAACATGGAGTGGATGATGACATGGGACGATGGTTCGCAGTGTTCAACTTGTCATCAGTACTGCAAAATCCCTCCTTTTTTGATTTCGATGTTCGAGGAGAGTCTCAGTCTCTTGTAAAACTTGAAGAACCTGATGATTCAGATGTTTCTGGTGCAGCATTCGCATCAGAATCTGACGTGGAATTTCAATCACCTCCTAGATCTGCTCAAGGAAAAAGGAGAGTAAGTCGAAAACATCATGGACGTGATAACAAAATTTCAAAACTCCAGGAAGAGATCACTCCAACTCCCGATGAAGGCTTATACGAGATTGTTGAGTTTTTTGAAGAAACCGATGCTGCGGAAGTATCAGAATCTAGAACGGACCTGATGGAATTCGACGAATCTCCGATAGAAAATCGCAAACCAGATTTTGCATCAGTGCCGTACATGTCGGACATTCCACCTGAAAGGCCTCAATCTCCTTGTCAACACGACGCAAACGTGTTAACAGAATCACAAGAGATCGGACCGGCAGTCAATGATCAAGAATCATTGAAAATCAATCATGAAGTCGAGCATTCAATCAAAGAGGATCATCAAAGTCCATTGGAAGACGATAATCAAAACGTTCTGGAAGATGATCGTGTTGGAATATTGGACGATGAAACTGACACAATACCGGGAGGGGATTATCCAAGTGTATCACAGAATGATGATGCAATGGTGTTAGAAAGGACAGGAGCTGTACCGGAGAAGTATGGAGAAGCTTCATCTGAAAACAAGACACAAGCTGTATGTGAGAACAACAATGGAAATGTTCTGAAGAACCAAGAAGAAACTGTTAATCTTTTGAGGAACCAAGACGAAACTGTATTCGTCAATGACAAAACTCAAGAAGTCGAAAGTGAGAAAACGCAGCAAACTGCATTGGAGGAGACAGCTGACAATGTATCAGAGCAGTTGCAACAAGGGGTATCGGGCAAACCAGAGACTGTAACAGACATGACACAAAATATTTCATTGGAGAACACGCAGGAACCCATATCGCTGAGTGCGCAGGAAACTGTATTGAAGAACGAAATGCAGACTGTATTGGCGAAAACACAAGAGACTGCATCGGATAGAACAGAAGAGAAGCAAGAATCTGGATTGGAGAAGATACAAGAATGTGTATCGCAGAACATCGAGGATAACGTGCAAATCGAAGACAACAACCAGCACGATGAAAAAGTTGAAATGTTCTGTAAACCAGAATGTGTCTCGGAGAACAACGAAGAAAAGGAAATGAGGAACAATGATGAGATTGTATTTGAGATGCCACTCGAGACAATGATAGATGAGAACGAAGAAACGGTTCATCGAAACAACGATGTGATGGAGAACAAAAATGATTGTGATTTCAAGGAAAAGGAAGAACATTCGTGCGACGATAAGTCTATGGAAATACTAGAGGATGAAGCACCCGAAAACACACATGCGATGGCGTGCGATGCAAACCTGGATGAAGAGCCCGCACACAAGAAGATGTCTGTAAGGGACGAATTGTTGATTTATCCTGTGGACCAGCGATTTCTCAACGAAGTGGAAAAACAGTTCGACTTAACGAGAATGGTTGGTTCGGGAACTTTTGGGGAGGTTTATGAGGCGTACGATAGGGTGAATCATCGCAAAGTTGCAATCAAACGATTGTTTCCCTATCAGACTCTTGATGCCCACAAGAAGGAGGCTGGGTTCATATCAAGCCTGAATGGCAAACCCAACATTGTACAGCTTCAATACAGCCCGCCGTTAGCGCCTGATGGAATCATCCTCGTCGAAGAGCAGCAGGCTTTGCTATTCGAATTCTTCGAGCATGACAATCCTTCGGATTACGTCAAGGACTTAACGATCAAAGAGATCAGCCATTACATGAAGAATCTGTTTGTAGCCCTACGATCCGTCCATTCCCTCGGGATCATACATCGAGATGTGAAGCTCAACAACTTTCTCTACGACAGGAAGAACAAGAAGTACTTGCTGGTAGACTTCGGGCTGGCAGAGAAGAAAATCCCCAAGGGCACTATGGGTGCTTCAAGGCCAAAAGAACAGGTTCAGCCCTCTGGCCGCAGGGCGACGTCAGAAACGGCGAGTAAGAGCGGCCATCCGACGAAGAGCAACGGCTACATCCTGAGCTCTGACGTCTCGACCGCGAGCTCTCGCACCTCTCGGCCTCAGAAGGAGAAGGAGAGGATAGAGATGGCGCAGCAGATGGCCAAGAGGCGCATGATGAGCGGCAGGAAGACCAAGGACGCGCAGACGGTGAGCAGCTCCAGAGTCAAGCTCGAACTCCCCGCCAACCGCGGAGGGACTCGAGGGTACAGAGCTCCTGAGGTCGTGATGGGCAGTCAGCACCAGACGACGGCAGTCGACGTGTGGAGCGCTGGAGTGATTCTGCTGAACCTGCTGTGCCGCAAGACCCACTTCCAGTGGTTTCGGCATGACAATGACAACCTGGCGACCATGGAGATCTACGGGTAAGCGCTGCCTTGACAGTCTGTTGTTGGGTAGCCTGACTGTGTTGTAGTCTTCGGCTGTATATTAAGACCATGGACGCTGTGTGGAGGCAGAATTATGGGTATACGGGTCAGTACAGGGACAAGATGAGGGACGTGATCAAAGATTTCAACCTCGACGTTGAGGTGATCCCGCTGTAGTTGTTGATGCTTGTTGAGTTGTTGATGTGCCTGATGATGATAGAGATGACGACGAGATTGCAATAGTTAGTGGAGGAGGAGGAGGAGGAGGAGGAGGAGGAGGAGGTAGCTAACATCGTCTTCTAGTTCGGAGAGTTCGAACAGTATTTTAACTACGCTCGCGGCTTGAAGCAGACTTGGCGAACCTTATGCAGTGCCTTGAGCACAGAAGAAGGATGCAAGGACTGGCTGGAGGTGGAGGAGAAGCATCCCATGTGGGACTTTCTCAACCGCTGCCTCGACATCGACCCCCGTACGAGGATCACAGCACAAGACGCGCTGAAGCATCCCTTCCTTACTGGTGCTATGAAGTAAACCATGAAGTATGTCTGTAGCTTCTCCTCCTGCTCCTCTGCCATCCCAATTCCTCCTCCCTATTCTCACTCTGCTCTTCACGCTAAAACTCCTGTGACTATACAACTATTTCTTCTACCCGCTTACCCACCTCCTCTAACCCTTCCCTCCTGGTCCTCTTTCCTTGTCCTCCCTCCTTTTCCTCTCTCCTCCTCTCTTCTCCTCCTCCTCCTCACTACTCTCCTACACCATTCCTTTCAGCAGCATGGCGGCATTCAAACGCTCATCGACGCCACCGATTTTCAACAGCCGATCACACAGCAACGAGATGCGTCAGGCCAGCCCCTCCAATCCTGTTCCTCCCGATTCCCTGCCCGATTCCTGGCCCCCATTTGCCTCAGCATTTGCGTCCCTCCTCCTCCTCCCTCCACCGCTTAGGCTATGTCCTTCGACTGCACCTCATCAGATTAAGGTGCTCACGCCACACTGCCAAGTTGAGATCGTCTGCAT